ATGAGCTATCAGTGCAATTTGGCCCCAGAAGTGATTTTAAAATATAGAAAGAAGTTGGAGTATGGAAAAGGAAGTAAGGGGACTTGGAAGCTACAATGGCACAGCAGACACATGCTTTTAGTTAGATCCTATGCTCATTTGGGCTGGATTCGGTTGGGGAACTGATGGAGATTAAGGGAAACTAAATCAGCACCTGCACGATACCTCTTTGTACCATCCCTTGCCAGACTTACGCACTTGAAGTCTACATTGATATGACTATATTGTCCAAAAGGAGCTGGACTTGGTGTCCAGCCCCCTAGACACCAAGTGCGAGAGGAGGAGGATGAACTGGAGTCCGCCTGGAGAAGGAGAAAGAGAATGGTAAAAGAATGGAAACTACGTCAAAATATTAGGGAACCGAGTGTGTCGACAGAACTGAAGATGTTAAGTTCGGAGAGGGAGCACAGCATCTCCCCACGTAGAAGATGTTTCCCCAGAGTCAGAACTTTGAAGACAAGCATTATCTCCAGAGGAGGAGGAATGAACGGTGAAAGGTTTGCAGAGATTACCAGGAAAACTGTCCCCTTCCTTCACCTTCAATCACGCTATCCCTTTTTGTCTGCGGGCAGTGTGGTGAAGTGGTTGATGGCTTGAGCTCTGGGGCAAGACTACTTGGGTTTGAATCCTGCCAGAGCCATTTATTGGCCATGTGACCTTAAACAAGTCTCTTATTTTCTCTACATGCCTCAGTTTTCTCATCAGAATAATGAAGATTAAAATTAGTTTATCTCTAATAGAGCTGATGTGAAGATGAAGGGAGGTAATGCTGGTAAAGTGGCTACCGAGCCCAGAATAAATGCTCATTAAATCTTAGCGCTTGTTTTCTCACCGCCCCTCTGATGACTCCTTGTGCAGTGAGGGGCAGGATTGCCCACTGAATGACCCTAGAGGTTCTATCTGGGTTGCCAGGCAACAAGCTATCTGGGACCAGTGGCTCCCCCTCCTTCAGCAGCAGTAGCTGTACAGGATTTTAACTTCCTCAAGGGCACTGGGCATCAGTAGCTGACATTCCAAGACAGCTACTGGAACAGCCGACCCCTGAGCCTGGATCGTTTATGAGGCAAGCTCTCATGCTGGCTCAATAAAAAGGTAGAGGAGTAGGGAGTGGGATCCTTTCCTGGAACACAATCTCTCTATGCCCTGGCTCCTTTCATGCTTCTTGGGGGAAGGGATGAAAACATGGGACCATGTATCTCATCTCGTTGGCTCTGAATTTCTCACGAACCTGGCTCCGTGCCATGCTGTGTGCAGTGGTGTTTACTTTCATCTACGTCCCCACACCCTTCTCTGCACGGCCTCATTCCTCCTCTCTGTTCCCCGAGAGCATGCCCCCATGGCGAGTCCCGCTTCCTTCTAGATCTGGGTATGCTTGCTCCTCCATGATTTCATCTGCTCCTGGGGGTTCCAATGTAACCTTGTGGCAAGGACTCCTGTGTATGCCATATCTTCAAATTCCAGGCCTGGCTGGACGTTGTCACTTAGACCTGGCATATTGAACCTTCGGAATGTTCAAAACTGAATTAATTTTTAAATTTTCTTTTCCCTTGGCCGTGAAAATAAACATAAATAAATAAATACCTTGCCCTTCCTGTACCCATAAACTTGATGACTTGTCTGTCCTATCATCTATCTTGTCACCCTGATCGAAAATCCTAAGGTCCTCTCTAGACTCCTCCCCCACGACCAGTCATTTGGCACAAGCATCCTATCACACGGCTTTGCCCCCGCCTCCCTCCTCACTCAGTGCCTCTTCCCCACCAGGACCAGTATTCCGGTCTCTCTCTCCATACTCTGTCTGGTTAATTTTCCTCCCCTGCCCAAATACCTTCGGCGCCTCCCTATTACCTAAATACGTTGTAACTCCGTACTCTGACTTTTCAGGCTCCCCACAAAACGGTCCAGGTCTAAGACTCAGCTGCTCTTCCACTATCCGTACTCGAACCAAGTCCATCGAGTCGCTCGTACTTCCTTCAGTCTACGCTCCTCACACTCCATGGTGCTGCCTGTGCTGTCTCCTCCACCTCAAACACCCTCCCGAACTACCTCCTCCTGTTACAGTCCCACGCATCTACCGAGTTTATCTCAGATGTCCCCCTCTGGTGACATCTTCCTGTGTGCCTGCCCCCATTCACACTCTCAGAGCAGAGGTGTGTTCCTGGTTTATGGCGCTTGTCATAGTGCATCGAATTATCATCACGTGAGCACACATGCTCCTGAGGTTAAGGGCCGTTGGTTAGAGACAGTTTACACAAGGTGGTACCGCACTGGACTTCAGACACAGGTCTGTTGGTTGAATTGAGCAAGGGGTGATTGGCCTGGAGAAAAGATGACTCAGGGGACAAGGGGGACTGGCTTCTTGTACCTGTGGGGCTGTCTGCCATGGACATGTAGCATGGCCCCAGGAGGACAGCGTTCAGACCAACCTCTCTGCTTCTTGGGGGATCCTGGGTCCTGCACAGTGAGAGCTATCTCTGGGGAGTATGAGCTTTCTAGCACCCATCAAGAGTCTGGATAATTCACCACTTTCTGCCTTGGCTCTCATCTCCTTAGCCCTCTGGTTCTCTGAATGCCAGGCTGGCACACAGATGCGATGCAGCCCTCAGGAAAGAACACGTTGGGCATTTGCTGCCATCTAGTGAAAGAAGCATGGCTTGGCCTCTTGCAAAAGCCAAGCAGATCCTGTGCTCTCCCCAGCAGCTGGCTCAGGGAATCCCCACTCTGGTGACATCTTCCTGTATGCCTGCCCCCATTCACACTCTCAGAGCAGAGGTGTGTTCTGGGACACCCGCCCCACCCCCTGCATGGCACAAAGCCTGGAAGAAGGGGACCGCCTGGGGGTGAACAGGTATGGGAAGGGCCAAACCTGCTGCACAGAACAGATCACATCTAGACCCCCCTATAATCCTTGCAGATCCTCCCCTACCTCCAGCCAGGAGGTATTCCTACTGGAATGATGGCCAGCCATCTTTTTCAGAAAACTTGGTCAGGATCCATAAAACAACTAGAGTTCATAATCAGAAGAATCTTTTAGGGAAGAAATAGGTCTCCCAGAGCCTTTAGAAGTACTGGCCATGACTTTAGAACTGGTAATTTCCACAAGGCCCCTGCAGCTCTACATAGAAGGCCCTATGGCCATGTCTCAAAGGTTTTCTGCTTCTGGGACACCCGCCCCACCCCCCGCATGGCACAAAGGTTCAGGCTCCACCAGGCAAGTGACCGCACACTCACTAGGTTATTGCTAGGTACAAATGAGATTATTCATGACAAATGCTTAGCCACTCCTGATGCATAGCAACCCCTAAATAAAAATTAGATATTGATAATGATTAGATAATGACATTATTACTTTTCGCCAATGCTCCAGAGCACAAGGCTGCCTACAAAACTCACGAAACTCAGGCCCTGGACATGAATACATTGAGTCACAGTTAGATCTTGTACACTTTGAAAATAACTACCGCTCCGTGCACCACAGCACACAGTACTGGCCCTCCCTCCACTGGGCCATCGGGAGCATGTCAGAGGCTCAGACCTCAGGCTCCAGGATGCTGACAGGCATGTCGGTTCCTCCAGCCTGTATAAGTACAGGATTCCAGGGCTTCTGCGGGGTTTTTCTCCATGCCTAGATTGTCACAGTGTAGGTTCTTTGTCCCTAGACCAGTCTCTTTGGAGACTGACAGCCTAATGTCTTGTTTGGCCTCTGGGCATCTCCAGTTTTTAGGGACGTCCTGAGCTACTTCTGGGGCCAGGCCCTCTTGACAGGCCTAGGTTGTTCTCTAAGCTGCATTTCATGAAGACATTCAGCCAAAACTGAGTGTAGGGCTTCTCAAATGGCTAAGAGCACCGTCTAACCAGCATGGCCTACGGCTCCCCGACCCTGGGGTCTGGATGCTGCTAAGAGGCTGCTGTCTCCATGGAAGGTGCCCACTGCAGATTTTTAACCACAGTCAAGTGACACTTTCTTATTGGTTCCAGCCAGTAGTGTGCTGGAGCCAGCTCGGGCCGGCTCACGAGACCTGACAGCAGACACTGCTTCCCAACTCCACGTTCAAAAACATCATGATGGTAGCTCGAAATCAGCTGTGATGGAAGTGTTCACCACAGAAATCAGGAACTGCTACAAACCCTGGCTTTTTTTTTTTTTTTTTTTTTTTTTTTTTTTTTTTTTTTTTTTTTTTTTTTTTTTTTCCGAAGAGCCAACTGTTATACACTCACCGGCACACCACTGGCTTCCGCCTTTAATTCCAAGCAAAGCACCACGTTAAAACCACTGCTTACACCATCACAGGACAAGGAGATTTTTAGTGTCATATCTGAATAAAATGCAAAATGAAAGTCTCATTAATTTATTTATTTTTTCCAAATATATATAACAGAGACTGTATGTAGCTGGTGAGAAATAGATGGTAATGGACAAGTCAAGGTCATGCTTTTAGGTTTGAAATAAGCCTCAAATATTTAATGTTGGTAAAAATATCTGCAATCAGCTATTTATGAATTGGCAGGTTTGAATTGTTACTTAGCATGCAGAAGAACTATATGAGATATGCCACACACTTGCAGTGCGGAAAACATTAAACAAAGGTATTGGATAATATACCTAGAAACATGTGGAAAAACACAATGTAAAATTTTAACTTTTTAAAAATTATTCCTTTGTTTTGACATAACTTGAACTATGTTTCAATCCTAACATCAGGGCATCCTCTACAGCCTTTTCTGGTATCTCTTCCTTATTAAAATAGTACCAGTGGTTACAGTCAAGCAGTGTTACCTTACAGCTCTGTAAACACCATTTGAAGTGAACCTTGAAATATCACTTCTTTTAGCCAGGAAAAAAGTGGAATATCTAGTTCAGTGAGTCCACTGTTTGTTCATACACTAAGCTGTGGACCCCTGGAGCCCAGAGGCTGGAGGCAAGGCTGTAAGGCTGTGAGGTAGGGGTCAAGGTGAGGGGCTCAGTCACAGTGGACCTTGCCCTCGGCCACCCCGGAGCTGGACAAGCTCCCATTGCAGGGTGTCTGGAGTGGTGAACGAGGCCTGTCTTCCAAGGTGCTCATAGTCACCTTCATCATGTACTTTCGAAAGGCCTTCTGAATAACGGCGGCGCATCTCTCCTCTTCCTTTCTCTTGGTGGTGGTGACAATGGGTTCATATAACTTCTTGAAAGGGTTGGCTTCCATGAACTTCTCCTCCATCATTGCTTTCATGCTATCCAAGCCATTGGAGTCACCGAGTACCCTAGTGGTGAAAGCGAAAAGGATATCCAGGCAGTGGAGGCGATCTCCAGTCACCATGGGCAAGTCCATTACTAGAAATTGAAATTTATTTGGCTTTGCCACACGCAAGGGCTCAGGAAGGGCATCAGCAAAATCAGAAAGGGCAGAATATTTGATAAACTGTGTCGCTTCTGGGTCAAATTTTTCCCAGACTTCATAGAATATTTCAAAGTCATCTTCACCCAAAGGGTCTTCACTTTCTTCAGTGGCTGTATTGAAGTTTTCTAAAATCACAGCAATATACATGTTGACAACAATGAGAAAAGAGATGATGATGTAACTGACAAAATAGCTTATGGCTGTGGTAGAGAGGTAACAATTCTCAGACGTGGAGTTGCAGGAATCATCTGACTGTAACATGGGGCTGAGGAGGGTATCCCAGCCCGCTGACGTGGTTATCTGGAAGAGACAGAGCAAGCTGCCTGCAAAAGTTTGGAAGTTGAATATGTCATCAATCCCAGAGTCTGGCTTCACTTTGCAAAACCAGCTCATACCGAAAATGGCATAGATAAACATAATCAGAAAGAGCAGAAGACCGATGTTGAATAGAGAGGGAAGAGACATCATCAGAGCAAAAAGGAGAGTCCTGATTCCTCGAGCTGCCCGAACGAGCCTCAAGATTCTGCCAATCCGAGCCAAGCGGACAATTCTGAAGAGTGTCGGGGGGAAAGGAATGTGCTTCTGCTCTTCCAAGGCAGAAATCATCATACCTCAGGAAAAGGAGAAGAGTCGGTCAGTTTCTAGCAGGCATCCTGGTCTCAGACCAGGCTGTCTCTCCTGCCTTGGAATCTTAGTGGGACCAAGGTTTACCAATACTTTTCAATTAATGCATAAAATTAAGAATTTTCTTTACCCATATCAAAGAAACATCTATCTGTGCCTTAACTTGGAAAATAATTTCCAAGGGCCATACAGTTTTAGATGGGACTTTAGATGGGACAGGATGTCTAAAATATTAAAGACCCAAAGAAAGGAAAGAAAATGCAGCTTACGAAAGGCTATTTTGTGAGTTGCCTCATGCAGCTGAAGTGCATTATCTATTAGGCATTCAAAGTCATTCACGAAGTAACAATATAATAGTTTTTCATATTTATTGGATATATTGAATGGAAAACAGATAAACTACAGATAGAGTCTTTTAGATTAGTGCAAGGAGAAATCTCTGCTAATGAAGGTTGGGCTATCAGTGGAAACTGTGGAACCCTTAACTTCAAAGTCCTTAAAGGCACAGGTTCTTATTTGTATAGAGGAATTTGAATGCAGCCTGCCACAGGGAAGATCAAGGCTGGAAAGAGATGGCGGTATTAGGATGCCCATCTTTGGGCTCAAGCTGCCACAGATCTCTCATGTTGGTTAATGTGTTCATTCTAAGGACTCCTGAAGTTGGAGACACCTGAAAAATGACATCTCAAGCAGAGGTTTCTGCAAACTGCTGAATATTTGGCCTAAAATGTCACCCTGTACTCTCATTGCCTGCTCTTCAGGCAAGAGAAACATGGGTTTAAAACAACCCACATTTTGGCCCAAATATTATAGAATGGCAGGAACATGCTTGCTTGTGTAGACATAGCCTTGCTTTTGCACTGGGGGTCCCCTAAGGTCTTTCAGAGCAATGGGCAGCCAAAATTATCTGCCCATCACCTAATGACTAAGGAGAACTAGTTGATGAAATACTTCACTGACTGCTCAATTGTGTCAAAGAAGTCTAATACATATGTTAATTAGGCAGCCAACCCTGGTGAGAGGTGAAATTGATTAAGTACCAATTCAGTAACAATTGGAGGAGGTCCATCCTTTAAGGCCCACCTCTTCCATGACTATTTCATTGAGTAACCAAGCCCACAGTAATTCGTCCCATCTCTGAGCTCAGTCCTTCTGTGAACTATGTGATTTGGTGTTCAATCAATTTGTCTTTTTCTGGCTCTTTAAGGTGAGTAGCTCTTAATACTTCAATGGGATTGGAGAGATGCACTTTGACCCAAACTCACTTTGTATTTCTCCAAAAGCTTAGGAAAGTGCAGAGCCAGAGAAAGTGCAGAGGCTAAGTGTGGAATGACAGACCTACTGGCAAAGGTATATAAAATGCCGACTTTGGTGGGGAGGATTTGGCTCAGTGTGTGTATCTCCTCAACAAAATGCTATTCAGTGCTCTGCATGTCACTGCAATTGCCTAGCATTTGTGCAAATGACAGAAGTCAGAGATATTTTCACAAACTGTACAATGCCTGGTACTACCACAAAGGAGTTTGATAAATCATGAAATGAATGAGCTTCTCTCTGCATATTGGAGAAAGGGCCCTTTAAGCAACCAGAAGGCTGTCCCTCCCACTGCTCATCCTACCACTATTTTCTGACATGACTGCTTCTGTCACTGCCACCAGGATTTGTGATCGAAAGTCCATTTAACTGTAAGTATGTGGAAGGATCTATTGCTAGACTCTACCTACACAAACTTCCTGGCTTAGAAACCAGAAGCATTTTTCTTGCTCACTGGAACATCTGCATTGCTGCTATAGTGATAGGAACCAAAATATTTTGATCCAACATATCTGTTTAATGCATCCTTTCTGAAATAGCACAAAAGCTTACACCTGTGAAATCAGTTTTCATTGTCTTCATTGCTTTTTGAACTATGAGAAGGGCCCCCGGGCAGTTTTATAAAACTTCAAAAAAGTAAATTATCAGTTTAGTTAAAAGCAGACTTCAAAAATTCAGAGTAAACTCTTATGGTTTAGCCACGAAGAATAAAGGTATATGGCAATAACCCTTTTTTTTCTCCTATTCTTCTTTCATAAACCTTATAGTTAATTATAGCTATGGTTAGGGAAAATATACTGATTATAGAGTGAGGCTGATTGGTGAATGAGGTCCAAGCAGTTGAGACAAGCACAGTTCATTCTGTGGTTTAAGTTAACATAGGAAATACAGTGACAAGAAAGTACCGGTTGGCCTCCTGACACACTTGTGGAAGCCCAAGCTAGGATGGACCATAGCGGCCTTGTCTAGGAGATAAGGGAAGGCCTGACAAAGTCACAAGGGCATAATAATTGTGATCTGACATCCCCATGGATTTTGAACTAAGGAAAAACATGAGAACTAAATGCTAAATCCTTAAAACTATAAAATGTTCATTAGGGCTTACAGTTGTACAGAAAGGTAGACCTTTGACTCAATTACCTGGATAAACCAGGTATCCCCACAGAAACTTTTATGTCATCTTAATTTTATCTATCTCCATTGAACAAATGATCCACATTATTATTTAACTACTTAAATCATGTAGGCAGTTAAGGGAAAGGAAATTACTCTGTATCTCCTAGCAACTTCCCAGAAGAGAATGGCATTAGTACACCTGTCCATTTTTTCAGAAATCACATTAAGCCTGATTACGTGCTTTGTGGATGGCTTGGATGTACTTTCAAATCATAAGATCTACAAGTTTACTTCTGGCTCTCAGATCAAAGCCCCTCTGGCTGCTGATTTTACTTACTAACAATAGAAAGGACCACGATCACACAATCAAATAAATTCCAGCCATTGGTGAAGTAGTATTGCCTCAAAGCAAAGATTTTGATGAGACACTCAATTGTAAAGATGACCACAAAGGCCAGGTTGAGATAGTCAAGGATGAGACTCATGGTTTTAGATTGATTATCTGATTCGGCCATCATGCTAACCATGTTGAGGATAATGAGGATGATGATGATGACGTCAAAGATCTGGTTGGTGACCAGGTCAAACACAAGACCCTGGCATTTGTTCTGAGGGGGGAAAAAAAAGGAATCATAGATTATTTTAAGTTGTAAAGATGAAATTACATAAATGAAAAAGGTACCTATAACAGAGTTTATCTTCTTATAATTAAAGCAGTTTCTTGAAAAAAATGCACAGACCCTTTTTAGAGGGCAAGAAATTCTTGCATACATATTTTCACTTAAAGTTAATTAAATAATTGGTTTTAAGCTGTAGGCTTATAGCTTTAGTTGTATTTTTAAACAAAAAAGTATAAATAAAAAAATAATTAGTAACAACATAATTTTGATATGATGGATGGTGTTTTGCTAAAATAAAATGGCTCATGTTGGATTTTTAAAAAAAAAGATAAACTTTGGTCTCTATGTTCCTGTATTTTGACTTCAGTAATATTAATGCAGATAACACCTGCTCATATAATTATGTTGGACAAAGTAGAATTAGCATCTCCAAGTGTCCATTTGTCAGATCAGAATAATCAAACCTTATACTTAACCAAAATTCTATAGTCAGGCAATTCTTAAATGCGATTTTCTAATTCTTGCTCACTTGAAGATAAGGCTAGATAAATGGGATTCTGATCCAATGAGTACTAAAAACAGATACAGAAAAGCTGATTATTTCCTATCATTTCTGATGGTGAACTTGCGTATTGGTTTGTTCGGAGATATTCACACTGCTCACAGAGCGAGTTTGTGCTAACTGCTCTGGCACAGATTCTAACTCAAGTTTGCATGCCCGATCTACCATGTGCAGTGAAATGACTAAATTTTTTCACTATTTTCTTTAATCTAACTGCTGTGAAGCACCATTTTATTTTTTACTTAGTGGAAGACTGTCCTTAAACAAAAACTCAGACACTGATATTGTATGGCATTCTTGGCTATACACAGGTTGTTTTACAATATAGTGTATATGTTATATTATAATTTAATCAAAGTATACAGCCACTTTCTAATTAGAGAACTCACAGTTCCTTCGGAATTCATCTTTAGGACCTCAGGTATCTGTTATGGTAATCTAGGCAAAAGATTATGTTGGTTTGTGGTGTAACAGTGGAGAAAGACATAAGCGTTGTGGTTTAAGAGCTAATGGAGTCAGAGAGAGTTCAAACGGAGGGTGCTACAGGAGAGTTATGGCTGAAGCTATCCTTTCTGGTTGGGGGAGCCATTCAACTAGCCAGAGAACAGAGGATGGGGAATTTTGGAGGGAGATGATGAGGTTTGTTTTGAGCACGTTGAGTTTGAGGTGCCAGTAGGGCATGTAAGTGCCACAGGCGAGTAGAGGTACGAGTTTGGAGCTCAAGTAGAGAGGGGAATGCAGATGTGAAGTTCATTGGTATCAATACTGATTTGAATTAAAACCAAGAGAGCGAATGAGATCACTCAGGGAGCGCCAAGGCAATGAGAAGAAAGAGGACAGGGACAGCATTGGAGGGATACTACGTTTAAATTGGCATCTTTGAAACTTTGTGCCAGGAGCCCTAAAGCTTTTATCAAGGTGTCTGAAGAAGAAACGTGAAAGTCAAGTGGATTTGCCATGTGAGAATACACCCAGGAAATCAGAAAGGACCTGGAGAAAAAATACTTTTAAGGATGCTCTCCAGGAAAGCAGAATGAGGGGTGAGAATAAACATAAGGGAGGGAAGGCATCGACCTTACAGTTCAACTCTAATATTTGGACAAATGGAGGAGATTAAGAGTATAAATTACCTCAAGTGGCAGATGATCAAATTTACTCTCTGTCACTTTAGAATGACCCCTACACCTCAGTATGATTTTTAAACCCAGTAATGAAGACACCCTGTGGGGATGCTTCAGGAAGAATCAGAAATGATTCCAGATCCTTTGCTCTAGTACTGGAAATGAAATACATCACTGCTCAGGTTCAAACAGTTGTGTCCACCCCCTCCCGACCCCCACAATGCAATTACTATTCATTTATTCCAAAGGTCAAAAGATAATATTTAGATTTTGGAGATTAAAAAAACATCTGTGGGGAGGTAAAGTTGTGAGGAAAGGGCTAACAGCTAATGTGAAGTCTTAGCCCCAACTCAGGGACATCCGGGGATATGATGTTGGATTTATTTTATGCAACCCTGCTCTCTGGAATACAAAAGTTAAGATAAATGTGCATTGTTAACTGGTAAGATTGTACTTGGTTGTCAGAATCACTCATTGTGAAGCCTTGACCGGTGACCTATAGCTACACAGGGAGGGCTGTGGTGTGGCACGTACTCCCAGATGAGCCACATGACAAACATGTTATAAAAGATAGTTAAGGAATGGATGTGGCAGCTTCCCTGTGGTAAAGCAGTCCATGTCCACTTCAAGTTCGTCTCCTGCAGCCTAACATGCCCAGTGCAGTGGAGAGTTCTGGAAGCTACATTTATGTCATTGCAACTTCTGTTTGGTTGTATGCTACATTGCTAGCTTCACATCCTTCATGAAATAAATTGGTAAATAGTGGGGAACTTATTGAGTCTCATGAGTCTTCATTAATTCCAAATCTGGGACCGATTGGTGTTGAGTCAGTGGTTACATAGCATGCTCATGTAAATAAAAATGCTCTTTGTCTTTTTTGTTGGCTCAAGTTCAGATAAGAATTTCAAAGTGAAATTAGTACTAGAAAGTGAGATTGGTACTTAAAAGCTAGATTTGACTTAGATAAATTGAAGTTCCACATTCTGTTGACAGGTTAAACCTCCTCAAATATAATTGTATCTTTAACTCCTTGGTCAAAAGTTCTTCATCGTAAAAATTTTAAACACTTGGTCCTGACATTCACAGACATTTTTAGTGCAAGACAAATACTTAATCCTAGTGGAATGGGTTCTGTATGTGCCTTAAAACATATTTTTTCATTCAACAAATAAATACAAAGAATATGCTTTACGCCAGGCTCTATTCTGAGTGCTGGGAATAGCAGTAAACTGAATATACTTTTGATAATTTGGGGTCTCCTGTTTTAATGAAAATCTCCAAGCCCTCCACATGCTTCGGATATCAAGCCCCTCCTCTATACTGCTTTCCCGGACTTTTCGGCACCCCCCGCCCGCCCCGCCCCTCCTTGCCTTGAAATCCTGCGAACTCACTTGTCACAGCTACTAGCAGTGTCTGTTGTGTTACTTTATAATCTAATGCTCTCAAAGCCCAGATCTTTAATTAGACTGTAAACACAGAGCAGCCTTCTAGTACCTGGTAAAGCAGGATTCATAGAATGCAGGGGTTAGCAACCATGGCCCGTAGGCCAAATCCACCCACCACCTCTTCTTGGATAGCCAGTGAGCTTAGAATAGGTTTTACACTTTGAAGTGTTTGGGGAAAAATTCAAAAGAAGAATAAAATTCTGACATGTGAATATTATATAAAATCCAAACTTTAGTGTTTCTAAATCAAGTTGTGTTGGAACACTGCCATGCATATTTATTCTATATTGCCTATGGCTGCTTTTGTGCTACCATGGCAGAATTGTGTAGCAGCAGCAGAGACCACACGGGCTGCAAAGCCTAAACTATTTACTGCCTGACCTTTTGCAGAAAAAGTTTCGTCAGCGCCTGATAATAGAAAGTTTATCATAAACACTCGTGAAGTGGAAGTGAGCATGCATGACCTCAACTTCACAGCAGAAAAAGTTGACAAAAGTTTTTATAAATACATTTTAAACTGGTCAAGATTAAGTTAAACCAGACTGTTAAGTTCACGTCATTGCAATAAGTATATACTAGGCACCTATTGTGTGCTCGCTAAAAATCAAATTAAAGTTGTTGCCCAGGCTCTCCCTATTGAATTTGAGTTTCTAATTTTCCTAAGGACTTGAGCCATACACCAGTGTATCTCTGGGTTTTTCTTGAGTTCTTAGATAATGTCTGTAAATTTTAAAACTTAAACAAGGAGAGCATTGTAGACACCTGAGTTCCTCATAACTATTTTCTGAATCTATGTATTTAGAATCAATCGATTGCTCTCACCAGAGGTCTTGGAATGGGCTTCTGAGGTTTTTTGGATCCTAATTTTTTCATTGCATTATAGTATTTATTCTGTTCTTCTGTCAAAAAAATGTCTTGGCCACCTAAGTATATGACAAAGATGAGAGCTAATTATTAACAGATTTCTGGAAACAACTTCTGAATTGTCAGAGGTAGTTTTAAAGTTATATTGCACTTCTATCAACAATTCCTACAATTCCAATGAGAAGCAAAAGAGGCTGGACTTTAGGGGAGAGCTGAAAGGAAACAGGGTTTAAATTAAGGAATAAGGGGAAAATCTTACTTTTATCACTTACGTTTCATTTTTTATATTATAAACAAAAACTCTTTGCAAACATCTACATAATCTTTACAAAAACTGAATATATTTCAGGTTGCATAGATCAAACCATACTCTAATAAAAATTTAAACAAAAAATTGAACAAAGTAGCAATTAAAATTCTCCTAAATAAATGAATGTGTATTCGCTATAAATAAAATTTCATAAAACCTGTCCAGAGCCTTTCTCGGAAAATAGAAAAATGAATTAGGATTTTTATTTCTGGAAATTTGGCAGGAGATAAACTATCTAGAAATGATGGATGAAACAGAATTCTTTTAAAATGTATAGCTGAACTTGTACAAAAGTAAAGAAAATCTCCAGGGTCTGAAAATCAAGTGAGAACAAAAAGAGCAGGAAATTAGCCCTAAAGCCATGGTTGGCCTAAGAACATTTGTTAATCTCTGAAAAAACTAGAATGTTGGGCTTTAAACCACAAGAGGTCATGGGAAAAAAGGCGGCGGGCTTGTGCCAAGATCCCTGCGTGAATCTGGGACTCTCCAAGTGCTGCCAACAAAAAAGTGAAGAAGAAAACAGAATCTGTCTGTTGGCAATGAAAGACAACTAGGAAATTGTCTCAGCCTGTACCAGGGGGAAAAACCCTGTCTACCCTGATAATTTGTGAATCCAGGTCTGCCTTGATGAGGGTACAGGGTTTAAATTTACACCACCAGTATGGACCAAAAATATACAGACCTAGGACAGTCTTTTCAAAAAAATGGTGCTGGGGAAACTGGATATCCACATGCAAAAGAATGAAGGTGAATCCATATATAAAAATCATCTATAAAATCATATATAAAAACTCAATATGGATCAAAGACATAACTGTAAAGTCTAAAACAACAAAATGCTTAGAAGAAAACCTAAGACAAGAGCTTCATGACACTGGATTTAGCAATGATTTCTTGGATATGACACCAAAGGCAGAAGAGAAATAGACAAATTGGACTTCATAAAAATTTAGTGCATCATTAAAGGACACTTTACATATCTTGTTTACATATCTTGGCCACCGTGAATAATGCTGCAATGAACATAGGGGTATATATCTTTACAAATAATGTTTTCAAATTTGAGGGGTAGATACCCAGAACAAGGATTGCTGGGTCATATGGTAGCTCTGTTCTTAACTTTTTGAGAGACCTCCATACTATTTACCAATTTACATTCCTTCGACGGATGACTGGATAAAGAAGATGCTGTACATACATACAATGGAATACTACTCAGCCATAAGAAAAGATGAAATACTGATATTTGCAACAACATGGATGGACCTTGAGAATATCATGCTAAGTGAAATAGTCAAGAACCATATGATTTCACTCATATGTGGGATATAAAACAGAAAACAACAAATGAACAAACAAGATAAATAAACAAACAAAAAACTCATAGACACAGATAATAAAATGGTGGTTACCAGATGAAAAGGGAGGTGGGGAGAGGGAAGGTAGAAGAGGGTAAAGGGGTCAGATATATAGTGATAGAAGGAGACTTAACTTTGAGTGGTGAACACACAATGCAGTATACAGATGATGTATTATAGAACTGTACACTTGAAACATATATGATCTTATAAACCAATGTCATCCAATAAATTAAATAATATTTTTTTAAAAGAAAAAGAATTACTGTATCAAAAGACACTATCAACAGAGTAACAGGGTAACCCACAGAATGGGAAAAATATTTGCAAATCATGTAAGGGATTAATATTCAGAACACATAGAGAACACCTAAAAGTTAACAAAAAGACAAACAACCGGATTCAAAAATGGGCAAAGGACTGGAATATACATTTCTCCAAAGAAGATATACAGTTGGCCAATAAGCACATGAAAAAATGTTCAACGCCACTAATCATGAGGAAATTGCAAGTCAAAACCAAAATGAGATATTACCTCACACCCATTAGGATAGCTACTATTAAAAACAAAACAAAACGTCCCCACACCCAGCTGCCATGACCAGGATGGCTGGGAGACTTGCTGCCTTCTTCAAGAATGTCTGGGCCAAGGAGCCAGTGGTGGTTGCATTGGTCACCATCAGGGGCCTCGCTATAATTCTGCCCTCCATCAGCCCCTACTCTAAGTACACTACCACGATCAACAGATCATACCCTATAACTACTCAGTGCCCTCCGAGATGATGGCAACATGCCCGATGTGCCCAGCTACTCCCAGGACCCCCAGGGCTCAAGCTTGGAGAGGCTAAAGAAACCGTGAGCTCCTCCATGGACAGAGAATAAGCTCCCTCCCCTGTGGCCCACAATAAAAATGTAAACACTATCCATACCGCCCCCTGCCCTCCGCAAAAAACAAACAAACAAACCAGAAAACAAGTATTTCCGAGATCATAGAGAAATCAGAACCTTTGTACACTGTTGGTGGGAATGTAAGATGGTACAGCCTCTGTGGAAAACAGTACGGTGGGTCCTCAAAACATTAAAAATATTATTACCATGTGATCCAGCAATTTCACTTCTGGGTATAGATCCAAAATAATTGAGATCTCAAAAAGATAGCTGCACCACCATGTTCACAGCAGCTTTATTCGCTATAGCTAAAATGTGGAAGCAACCCAGGTATCCACTGACAGATGAATAGATGAGCAAAATGTGGTATATCATAAAATAGAATATTATTCAGTCTTATAAAGAAAGGAAATTCTGCAATATGCTACAACATGGGTGAGCCTCGAGGACATTATACTAAATGAAATAAGCCAGTCACAAAAAAGATAAATAGTATATGATTCCACTGATACGAGATACTTAGAGGACTCAAATCATAGAGACAGAAAGTAGAGGGGCGGTTGCCAGGGATTCGGGGGAAGAAAAATGGAAATTATTGTTTAATGAATATTGAGTTTCAGTTTCATAAGATGAAAAGAGTTATGGAGACAGATAGTGAGAATGGTTGCGCAACATTATGAATGTATTTAATACAGCTGAACTGTACCCTAACAATGGTTAAGATGGTAAATTTTGTGTTATGTGTAGTGTACCACAATAAAAAACAGATTGGAAAAAAAAGTAGAGCCCTAGAAGTTAAACAAGTTGTTTCAGGGTGCCCGGCAGACACAAGTGTGTTTAGGAATCATATGCATTATGATAGTATTAATACTATTATTCTGAGACTCTCCTATGTGTGTGTTGTGAGTTAAAGAAAATAGTAATTATGAACAATCTTAATGCTATCATGTCCTATGCCCATAAGAACCAGGGTTCTCAGTGTGGAAAAGAGGAGATAACAGATGTATTAGGTTAGAGGCAAACCTCGTAGTCTTGAATTTGAACGATCAGTATTCATATTCGCACATATATTTTTCCTAGTAGTCCTAAATTTGAAGTATCTCTGTCCACTGAAAAACCCTCGAAGCAATGACAATGAGCATTCCAGACTGTGGTCTTGGAACACCATCTCATGTAACAAAACTAGCACTCCTTAGAGAGATGGCTGATTCCGGATCTGGGGCAGGAAGGATCTGACATAGGCCTGAAACAGCTCACCGTTCCAGAGAGCAAGGAAGCTGTCAAATGGGAGGATCTTACTTGAATACCGATTTGAAAAGAAACAAACTTTAATACCAATTAATCAATCAATAACTAAATGAATAAGTATTTTAAGAAAATGAAAGACTGGAGTAAATTTGAACATGGACTCGGTATCTGACAAAGAATTCATATTAAACTTTATAAGTGTAATAAAAAAGAATTCATATTAAACTTTATAAGTGTAATAATAGAATTGTAGTCATGCTTAAAAACAGATATATTCTCAAATATTTGTGGATGAAATGATATGATGCCTGTGATTTGCTCTATAAAAAAAATCCAGTGTCAGGACTGGGTGAGAGCATAGATGACATAAAGATGTTCTTAAATCGATAAGTGCTTTGATAGGTGACGGGTATTTTGGGTTCGTTTTAGTCTACTCTTGTGCATGTTTGAAATTTCCTATAATGAAAAGTAAAACAAAGCAAAACTGCTACAGACTGATCAAAACAGTGATCTCTAATGTAAGCTGAAATCTAAAATCACAAGGCCTGACATCCAAATTACAGGTATTGATTGCAATCAGGCTGCATATTACAGAGGTGACTCCGCATAGCACACTTCAAGTGACAGCAGCAATACAGTTGTGTAAGGACAATGGCTGACTCCCCCAGTAGAACCCTAGGAAGGCTCACCAGTAACAAGATACAGTTTGGACGGTTTAAAAGAGCTCAACGGGAAAATTAAAAAGAGCTACAAAAAAATGTCAGGAAAACCAAAGGTGAATATTTAGTTACCTGGTTTTAGAACTAAGATATGCCTTTAGTTAATAAATGCAAGAGAAGTCAAAAAGGAAACATTTGAGAGTTTGATTCCATAAAAATGCTAAATGTCTGTAAGTCAGAAACATCATTATGGAAACACCGGAAGCAAGTCACAAATTGACCTTACTACATAAAAACATACGAAAAAGATGACAATCTCAATTTTAAAAAGTGACAAAGACTTTCATCCTGTGAAACCATGTGTAACCTCACAAATGATCAAATAAATGAATATAAAACAATGAAATAACACTTTTACCCATCAAGTTAGAAAAGATTTTTTAAAATATAAAAATAAACAGAATGCTGAGAAAAGAACAAAGAGGCATTTTCATATCTTGCAAAAGAAGGGTCCCCAGCACAATATTTCTGAAAGGTAATTTGACAATATATCTTTAAAGCCTTGAATTCTAAGAACTTATCCTGAGGAAATAACCAAAGATACACAGAGAGAATTTCAAGAACATTTGTGATAGTTTTAGAAGAAAAAGAAATTTAAAAATGACCTAAATGTCCAGAAAAGGGGGAGAATAATTAAGATAAATTATGATCTATCCATAATATGGAATGTAATTCAGCCCTGAAAATTCTTACAACAAAGATGATTTCATGACATATGGGCTCATAACTAATGTGAAGGAAGAGAAGCTAGAAAATTAAAAATATCATGCAATCTCAATTGTGTAAAATGATATACATATTTAGTTTGAAAGTAACTGGAAGGGATTGTACCAAAATGATGAGGCTTAATTCCAAATGGTTATCATTTGGTTGTCATTTTATGGGTGATTTAAATTTTCTTTTTATCTTCCTTTATTTTCCACATTTACTATGGATAATAGAATCAGAAAAATAAACATCTGTTTACTTCAATGCATGGGGAAAAAATCTCCCTAAAAACATCTGCCTCTTCCCCAACCATATTCTTTCCAAATAAGGTGAATAAATTTGCTAAGACTTGGGTGTTGGGAGCCAGGACACAAGTTTGCTGAAAGAAGAGAGTTTGCTCTTTTTATCCTGGATAACAAAGTACATTTGAAAGGTTATTAAAATATAACTATAGTTTCATAAATACTAATCCTAGTAGTTGCTTTTTTACTAGGGTTCGATAATGTCCTTTGCATAAGAGGGTAAAATGGAGAGAAAAAACAATGATTTAATAAAATCCAGCTGTTTTCAGTCCCTTTGCAGCCACATCTTCAACTATCTTCTCCAGGTGGTTCCCTCTTTGTTCTAATGCAGATGATAAAGGCTGCTTTGCACAACAATCTAGACCAGAATTATGTTTCAACCTAGCGCTTTGGAGAAGAGAGGTAAAATACCAAATTGGGAGAACCCCGATACTTATCTTTTTCTGCTGTTGGTTGAAGTTATCGATAATAACACCAATAAAGAGATTCAGAGTGAAGAATGAGCCAAAGATAATAAAAACTACGAAGTAAAGGTACATGTATTTGTTCCTCTCAAAAACTGGCTGGTCTTCCTTCTAAGAATTTTTTAAATGAGAGAAGAGAACAATTACTGGACAAAAATATAAGACATAGTAACTGCCTTATCTAGAAGACCACATGTACCTCAGCAGCAGCATTGACTCCTCAGCCTCCTCCAGACAGTGTGGTGCCCACAGGGATCCCCTCTTTCAGTTTCCCCAACCCCTGTGGGGTACCATGCAGTGGGGAGGGAGTGTGGCAGAAGAATTAGGCTTTTTTTCTTTTAGGCAATAGAGAATCATTGAAGGTTGCAAGAGAGGGGAGTGGCGAGATCACATGTGTCTCTGAAAAGATCTCGAGGATTTCTATATGGATGCATAATTGGAGAGAGCCAGACTGCAGGTGAGGCCACCAAAGGAGGGGCATGTTCACCTCAGGCAGAGGCGACTGACTACCAACACTCGATGAATGAAGACATCTGTCACACAGAGCCCAGGTGTATTTAGTCTGTGCTTGTGTCCTATCACTCTTGAATCCTTGGTGCCTAGTATACCTTGTGACATGTAGCATACATTGAATTAATATATGAATGAATGAATGAATGAATGAATGAATGATGAATGAATGAATGAATAATCAAGCTCCAGAATAAACACAAATGGACTACAACCAAGCTCCCCCAGCTCAAGGTGTGACCAAAAGCATTAGAGTCTGAGTAGCATAATTGGGCAGAGAGGTCTCTCGAATCTTTTTGAATTCTCCATGTGATCTGGACATGGGATTGGTAGGCATGGGCTTGCCATAGTGGACTTCATAGCAAGAAATGGGAATGTAATGCTGGGCCAGGGACTATGTGGAGGATAGGGCAGAGAGTTAGTATTTGAGGCCAAGAGTTGTTGAGAAGGGAGAAAGGCCCATGGTTTAATCAGTTGTAACTTCAGTATTTGAGACCGGCAGTATGCTCTGTGACTACACAGATAAGGGCCATCATGCTAGAAGCTAGCACACACAAGCTAGACCTGGGACTGACTTCAAACAGGGAGCTGTTACTAAGGGCATGGCTTGGCATCCGAGGCTCCACTCCTCTCTGATTGGAGGTCTGGAGGACATGGAACCAGACAGGATAGGGTGAGAGGGACAGACCCTTTCGGGGCATCACCTGGAGGCCAGGGCCAACATCAGGACAGGCACCCCTCCACATACCTCTAACCAGCATGTGAATGATATGTAGAAACACATACATGTAAATCACACACCTATTCTATCATACATCTGCATAAGATTTCCTCCTTACCCCCCAAATCCACCTTAAGATAGATGGATGTCCAAGGTAAAGTAGGGTGAAAGTCATATACTCAGACAAAAAAAATAGCATATTAATATTTTAAAATATTTTCTTTGTTATAAATTGCCTCTACTGCTATTAGAACACTACTCACACTACCTCTACTGCTACTACCAACTCACATGTATGAAACACCTGCTATGTGCCAGGCATCCGCTCTGAAGACCCTCAAACAGAACATAAACATATGTGATGATCGGAAAAAATAAACAATGCTGGTTCCATTCCTGATTCAACCATTTGCCCACACTATAGCTTTGGGCAACACTCTTCCTTTCTATTCCTCAATCTTCTGACTGGGAAATAGAAATGACTGAGTATTCTAACTTTGGGAATCCATGACCACTTTTATTTAACTAGAATGTAACAGGTGATGATCACCAAAAACCCCATTAGTCTCTTGGGAGCCTGGAGCCATGGAAAGGTCTCTCTTGTTCAGACCTAGTTCAATCGTAAGGTTTTCCCACAGCCAAGAGGAATTATTCTTTGAAAAATGGCTTCTGCCTACCCACCCATTTGGAGAAAAGGTGAGAGAGAAAAATCAAGGCATCCTGTGATTTTGTTGTTGATTCTGGCTCCATCTCCCCCGTGAGTGGTTTCTCTTTGGTCACTATGGACAAAAAGGACTGGACTTTGGAGCATCCTAAGGTGTAATACTAGTGGGAGGATGAATAAGAGCCCTTTTATCCCTATTTCATAGTATTTGTCCTAAGGGAAACAAAGCAAAGAATGCTGGCCACTGGAAATGCAAAGCAGGAGGCTGGCTGTACATGTAGTTCCTGATTTGACCTAGCACCTTAGAACATGGTGACTCAAGCTCACCTCGTTGGAATCAACAGCTGCATACATAATCTCCATCCAGCCCTTAAACGTCGCCTGCAACAAAAGCAGAGAAATATGAACACAATTATAGACTTGCCACCAACAGACAGGTGCCATGCAAAAGCAAGCAAGGCCAGTGCGCAGATGTAAGATGACGTCCCACCCTTCCAGGACAGAATGTCCAAATAAAAGAATAGTAGAAGGGAATTCAAGGATGGATGTCTTGGGGTTTTTTCCTTCTTCATTTGCACAAGATAAAAAGTTAAAAAACAAAATAAATTTCTTAAAAATTGCTAGAGAAGCTATGGACCAACGGCTAGAAAGAGCCTGGTTAAGGCTCTCTCCTGATGCTATTCTGTCTGTAGTCTGTCCAAGACCTGCCAACTGCAGCTTGACCTGGGACTGACTTCCAACAGGGAACTGTTACTAAGAGTGTGGCTTGGCATCTGAGGCTCCACTCCTCTCTGATTAGAGCTCTGGAGGACAAGGTACCAGACAGAATAGGGTGAGAGGGACAGACCCTTTCAGGGTATCACTTGAGGCTGAGGCTCAGTACATGATAAAGTTGGAGATGCTCAGTGGGGAGCAATTCCAGAGAGCACTGGCTCCCACAAAAGGAACTAGAATTTGGTTCTATTCTCACTATATTTTTATAGCTGAGAAAGAATTTATGTCTCTCCTCGGAGTGGAAAGCATGCCAACAGCACTTACCACCTGCAGCAGGGCGAGGTAAGCCATTCCCACGTTGTCAAAGTTGACATTCAGGTTGACCCAGGTGAAATTTCTACTTTCGCACTGACTTAGGTTTGCAACAAGTTTGGGATCTATGACCAAGCTCGAGTTATCTGTTACATTAGTGCACCTTCCAAACTTTCCAGAAAACAAGTTTACTCCCAGGATACAAAATATGAGCCAGAAAATGAGGCAGACGAGCAAAACATTCAGAATGGCAGGTATGGCACCAATGAGAGCATTAACTACCACCTTAAGGAAACAAAGCAGAAGAGAAACATAATAGATGTGTGAGACTCACCAAGCTCTTGATCCTCCCAGGACAGGCCCGATGTGTGGGGCTGGATCTGTCAGAGCTCCGTCTTTCCTCTCCACCCTACCCAGCACCCTATGACAAGTCCTGCTCTCAGCTCCACAGGTAATGGGTCCTTTCTGTCACTATTGAGGATCACTCGAGAAGTGTCCTCTAATGATGGCATTAGAGACTTATGAGACACCCACCCTAGGACTGAAGGGAAGCCAAAACCCATCTTGGCTGACACAGAAGCTCTTTTAGGATGGAGACGATATTGTAGACTTTTCTCCATCTCTCAAATTCTAGAAAGGAGTCCGGGAAGAGCTGGGCAATTTAAGGGAAGCCCAGCCCAGGGAGAAAAGCTCCGCCATCCTCTGCTAGCCGACCTTCCTGCCAGCCACCCAAAGAATGTACCTTCATTCCTTCAAACTGGGACAGTGCCCGCAGGGGCCTCAGTGCCCGTAGAGTCCGGAGGGACTTCAAGACCTTTAAGTTGGTGAGATTGAGCACAGACACCTGGTGGGAATAGAAGTCACAGGTAGCATACCTGACCGGGTGCCCAGAGAAGCCAGTGGAGGTTGAGAGGCAAAGTGGATTATCCAGACACAGAAACCAGCAAGGCCTTCCCGGAAGGGGGAGGACAGGTGGAAAGGCCCTTGTGCCCCTTGTCTGACAAAGCTACAGTCCATGTAGGGGAGAATGATGCGTTATATATTGCAAGAAACTGTTGTGAATTAAAAATTAAAAAAAAAAAAAAGACATGTCAATGATATGTGTGGGGTCCTAAACTGGATACTGAATTGGGGTGGGGGAAGGGGAAGATGGTGGTAGTTGGGTAGAGAGAATTAGCCATTAAGGACTTTGTTGTGACAACTGACAAAATTTGAAAATGGATGTGGGTTCTAGTTTTGGATCAGGTTAAATTTCCTAACTTTGGTAATTGTACTGTGACTGTGTGAGGCCATATCCTTGTTCTTAGGAAATGTTAAAGGGTAAAGGACATCATGCCTGCAACTTAGTTTCGAGCAGTTGAGAAAAAAAAAGAAAGAGAAAACAACAAAGCAGGTGGGGTGAAATGTTAATAATTGGTAAATCTGAGGAAAGAGTACAAAGCGGTTCTTTACAGTATTTCTTGCAACATTTCTGCAATTTTGAAATGATGTCAAAATACAAGTTTATGAAGAAATAATAAATTATTTGTTCGCTAATATTTCCCCTCAGTCAAATACCTCCTGTTTGGAAAATTAAATTAAATTTTTTTTCTCCCAATACACTTCTTTCTAATAGGACAGGACTGAGGACTGGAAAGCTCTATAAATACTTTAAATTAAAACTTAACGAATTTGCTGAGCTGAAGTTGAAGACAACTCTTTGCAGATCTGCAGCCGTTCTTACTGATTAAGCAGAGCCTTCCGAGGTGCAGCTCTGAAGGGTTGCTGCTCAGCAGAGCAGGAAGCGAATTATGACGCTCCTGATGATGTCGAAGTTCACTAACGTCTAAAAACAGACCCCGCTAACCTGCCAACCTCATTGCAGTAGTAAAATATCTGCAAACTGAGAGATATGAGTGAGTTAATATAAAAGAGGAACCAGATTTTAAAATCTGTAATCAATTTCTTAAAAAAAAAACAAAAAACAAAAAAAAAACACCATCAATTCAAAATGGCTTTATTTATAGTGGTTTTTTAAAAATAGGCTTTTGTTTGTTCTTTGGTTCATAATAGCATTGCCTGTTGGGACAGCAGCTTTTCCACAAATACTTCTACCTTGTTTGTAGCCAGAGGATAAAGGATGGCAAAGCTGAGCAGCTCTTCGGCTTTCCCGAATAATTGTCGTTGGTGGGGAAGAAGTGTGCCTCGATGGACACTGTACACCTTTTCACCTGGAACCTCACCCCTAGTCTCTGTTCCATCAAATTGGGAGGCATCGATGACACGTGCAGGCACGAAAACACCCACATTCTTTCTCACTCTGTAGCATTCTGCAGCGTAGGAAGTCTGCTAGTTTATCTTACTTTATTTCTACCTAACTGGCATTCATCACTCTGCACTATGTTTTGGAGATTCATCATGTTGATATTTATTCTTACCGTTTGGTCCTTTTAACTGCTGTGGAATATTACAGAATATAAATATTCATATTTTATAGATCCATCCCCCCTTCGCGAATATCTAAGTTATTTCCATTTCTTTGCTATTATGAACAACAAACTGGACAGATGTGTACATTTTTCCTGGGTATACACACGAGAGTTTTCCTTAGATGGGTAACTAGAAGTGGTATTTTTGGACTGCAAATTGGACTCACTTATAATATTACTTAATAGGGAACCACTTTCCCCAAAATGACTGTTACCAATTAAATTGTTAACCGTGATTAGAGATTCCATTTTTCTATACCCTTCTCAATATCAGATATTATCCAACTTTAAGATTTTTGTCAATCTGGCGAACAAAAAGTTTTTCATTTTAATATGCACTTCTGTGCTAACGGGTGATATAAGGTATGTTTTTCAAACATTTACTAGCAACTCAAGTTCTTTCTGTGAATTGCCTGTTTGCACCCTTCTCCCATTCATACATTGGGTTGTCTTTTCCCTGTTGATCTGCAGGGAGTTTTTATATACCGTGGATAATTATTATCAGTTATATATATGGCAAATGCTGTCTCCAGACTGTCTTTAACTAATTATGTTATTACTGAATAGAAAAATCGAAGTTTTACATTTTGATATAGTTGAATTCATATATAGTTTTCCTAGTTGCATTTGCATATTCTATTCCAAAATTATAAAGATCATTTTATATAATCTTAACAAGCAACATAAAAGGATTATTCACAGAATTCTCTCATTTAATTTGCACAGTAACGCTCTGAATTAAGCGGCATTATATATGTCACCTACCACATTACAGACAAGGAAACCTGAAGCTCAGAAGGTCAGGAACTTGTTTCAGGTGGACGTGGGATTCATACCTTGGTCTGTATGAAACTAAGGCTAATTACAGTAATAGTGGGCCACACTTATCAAATGCTTTCCCTGGGTTTTATAAAGATACATGTTTATAAGACTTTTTCTTTTCTTGTTCTACTCATTTTTGTTCTACTCATTTTGTTATCAAGGTTATACTTGTCTCATTAAATAAGTCTGTAAGCCTCCCCTCTTTTTCTATTCTTTGTAACAACATGAATAGGTAGGGGTCAACTGCTTATCTTAGTTCAGGCCGTATTAACAGAATACCTTTGCCTGAATGGCTTATAAATATCAGAAATTTATTTCTCACAGTCTGGAGGCTGGGAAATCCAAGATCAAGTCACCAGCAGAGTCAGTGTCTGATTGAGGGCCAACTTCTTGGTTCATAGACAGCTGTCTTCTTGCTTTATCTTCTTCATATGGCAAGAAGCGGTGAGGAAGCTCTGTAGGGTCTCTTTTATAAGATCACTAATCCCATTCATGAGGGCTCTGCCCGCATACCCTAACCACCTCCCCAAAGCCCCAAATACCAACACTTTGAAGATTAGCTTTCAGCGTATGAATTTTGGAGAGAGGAGACACAAACATTCAGTTTATAGCACTGCTCCTTGGAATTTTGGCAAAACTTGTCTGTAAAACCATCTGGTCCTGGTGCCTTTTTTCAACAGTGTGGTACTGGACTACTGTTTTGATATTTTAAATGGTTATAGTCAGATTTGTTTCCCACTTTGTGTCTGGTCAAATTGGGACAATTTCTAGTCCACACTCATTTTTATCCAAGTGAAATGTCAAAACCTTAAGTGCTTTGCCTAAGGTGTCACAGAAAGAGAGCAGACAAAGTTGCTTTAGGACCAGTCTTCTAAGTTTAGGCCAGTAAACTCCAGGTCCCTAGAATGGAGATAAAATAATCTGTCCACCATCTTAGGGATTCTTCACTAAAATTTGATAAGATAATGGGTGCAGAGTGATTTGTGCTCTGGAAAACGACAGGGATCCACGTGACAAACACGTAGGTGCTCTTGTCGGAGCTCCTATGGCATTGAGTCCTTTCTAAAATGCCTGAACCACATGACCTACTTGCGTCCACCAAAAAAATTATGGTTTGCCAGTGGGGTGAGCCAGCCACATGACTTAGGCTTAAGCATCATCATAACTACCTCTTTAAATTGGGTGGACAAAAATCTAATTAGCTCATGATAGAAAGGATGTAGATGTTAACATCAAGGGCTTTGGAGTGAGACTTACTAGGTTCAAGTCTTCACCTTCACTACTTCTAGCTGAGCAATCTTGAATATGTTTCTTAGCCTCTCTATGAGTTAGTTTCCTCCTATCTATATGGGAAAAATAATAGTATCCCTACCACTCAGAGTAGCTGTGATAACTAAAAGAGAGAAAGCATAATCCTCTGAGCTTCAGGTTTCCTTGTCTATAATTTGGTAGGTGACACATAACTCTGCTTAACTTGGAACACTGTTGTGCAGATTAAATGAAGGAATGTATGTGAATAATCCTTTTATGTTGCTTGGCAATCAAGATGGAGACCAGCCTAGTCTGTTGGCTGCTGACCTGCTTTGAGAAGTCATGAAAAGCGTATGATAGATGAGACTCAGGAAAGGCAGGACTGCTGACAGATAGATGACAATTACTTACAAATACTATGAAGAAAATATTTTGGAGAGGCACACAGGAAAAGCAGCTCCTACATGATTTCTTCCCTCATTTCCACCCTCTCCCCTGCTTGCATGGGACACAGAGATGGTAAACTTACAATCACGATGATGAAATCGAGCCAGCACCAGGCGCTGGTGAAATACTTCCAAAATCCAAAGGCCACCCATTTCAGACCCATCTCCATGATAAAAATGAATGTGAAAATATTGTCAGTACAATTAAGTAATGCTTGGATATTGGGTTGTTTGTGAAGGTTAACATCTTCGAACACCTAAAACGATAAAGCATAGCCATAGGCCAGGTTGAATATTTATGCAGAACTTCTTGCTGACTTTACTTATTATTTTTCTTCCTTATTTGAATAAACTAGTATCTCTCTTGGTGATAAAGTTTTGCTCATAAGGTAGTAAAGACTGATTTTTTTTCCAGTGGAATCAATTCCTTAAGTAAAGGTGAAAGAAGAAAAATCCTATTTCTAGACTTCCAGAGCTACTATGTTTTCAGGCTATCATCACTGGCCCCTGGAATATAAAAACATCTTCCTAAGAATCATCGCTCCATTTCCTGGTCTTCTTAATCTTTTCAACTCTTGTCAACAATAGCTTGCCAACTTTTCTAGAACTACTCAGTGGCATATACCATCACTAAGGTACCTAAGAGGTACCTTACTACCTTATGTACCTCTTAGGTACCTTAGTGATGGTATATGCCACTGAGTAGTTCTGGAAAAGTTGGGTACCTCTTAGGTACCTTAGTGGCCCTATTTTGTGGCTCTCCAGTGCTTATAACATCAAGTCCAAACACCCTAGTCTACATTCTAGATCCTGCCCACTCTGAGGTACCTTATGTACCTCTTAGGTACATAAGCCTCACTACCTTATGTACCTCTTAGGTACATAAGCCTCACTACCTTATGTACCTCTTAGGTACCTTAGTGATGGTATATGCCACTGAGTAGTTCTAGAAAAGTTGGGTACCTCTTAGGTACCTTAGTGGCCCTATTCTGTGGCTCTCCAGTGCTTATAACATCAAGTCCAAACATCCTAGTCTACATTCTAGATCCTGCCCACTCTGAGGCCCATCATCTTCTACCATGAACAGCCTTATCCATTTACTCCAGTGTTTCCTACAGATTTTGTATGTGTACCATGACACAAAAGTTTGGGCAGCTCTGAGCTAGAGCTCCCAGTGTAAATTATTTCAAATATTAAACATTCATTAAGTGCGACTACAAAAACAAGATATCCTAGCTTTTTCATGCTACATATGAACATTTCCTTCATGCAAAGTGTATGTGTGATTTTTCAGGATCTAAATAACTAGGGTACATGCTGTCCTTTTGGCCTTTACAGAGTTACTGAGGATGAAAGAAAGGACTAAATGACTTGGCACTTAACCCACCAAGACATTTGAACAAACACTGAAGGCAAGAAAGAAATCAGCCTTGTTGCTGGGGACTAAGGGAGTCTCACAGCCCCCTGGTTCTAGGCCAAAAGAATGCAAAAGAGTAAAAGCCTCACTTCCAACTTCCAAATGGGCTTTTGGCAGGAGAAGGCCCTCCATCTCTGCCTCTGTCCCACTGGCTCCTCATCAGTCCTTAAATCTCAGATTAGCTGATATTTTCTATAGGAAATTGTCCTTCTTCCATCAAGACTGGGTTAGCTGCTATCCTACATGGCCCCATGTCACCCACTGGTTCTCTAAGTGTATCACTATGGCTCTGGTCTAAAATTGCCAGGACTCCATCTGTCTTTTCTACTAGACTCAAGCTTCTGGAAGTCAGACACTTGCCCGTGTGCTTGCCTCTTAAGGAGAAACAAACCTGAATGGCTTCGGAAGCTCATTTTCTCATTTTGGAAGCTTAGCAACAAGCTGGCTCAGCAGGTCTGAGTTGGCTTAGTGGAAGAGCAAGCTGATATTAGCAACTGTGCTTTGGAGGCTCCCACATTATAATGAGGCCATTTGCTGCTCCAGGAAGCTCCTATAATTACATAGTTTCCTAGAGCAGAGCTTCTCAAACTCTGATGAGACCCAAATCACCTAGATTCAGATTCAGCAGGTCTGGGATGGGCCCAAGATTCTGCATTTTTAACCAGCTTCCAGGTGATACTAAGGCTGCTTGTCCATGCACCACATACAGTGGTAAGGGACTAGATGTTTCTTTTCTCTGTCTCACTACAAATATGGATAGTGAAACAGGGCTTGGGTCCCTCTCCTGGAACCCTCTGCATTGTATGTTCAGTCTTGCTCTGCCCAGCCTACACTTGCCTCATCTGGAGGTGGATGAGAACTAGGAGGATTGTGTGCCCTCTGCTATTTCTCTGATTGTAAGTTTTCCCACATGGTGCCATGAGGCATTTGTCTGTGGCCTGTGACAATGCCAATGCTTTCCCACTGACTAGCACAGGGCTTGGTAGATGACAGTCACCATTTGTGGTGTAAATGTTAGAACCCTACCGCTTGAATAAGAGTAGATGGCCAGCAAGAATGTAACCATTCAAAAACTACCGAGAACCAAAGGATTAACAATATAAATTAATCAAGGACATGCTCTGGGATAGTTTTAGAGAAATGTGCTTTTTTTCCTTTGAGGAATAATTTACATTTCAGTAAATAGATAAACGAGGATGTCTGTTGGTCACATGTGTTCCTCATCTTTCACCTAGGGATCACACAGGTGTAAAGCACTAACCAGAAAGGCAGGGGTGACGTAGTAAGACATTTCCTTGTCCCTTCTATTTGCTAGCAACTTATTGTGAAATATTCTGTGACTCTAAATCAATAAGGAGGAACCCGGGGCTCCATTCACTTGATATAACAAATAGTAAGAAAATTTAGTTCTATATTATCGCCATTTTAAATGGGGGAAGGCGGGGAAAGAGAGACAGACAGACAGATGACAGACAGATAGACATGTAGGTGATAAGAGAGAAGATACTATTGCCCAAGGGCGAGGTGAAGAGGGGGCATGAAAGACCAAAAGGCAAGGAGAGAGGGCAAGAAAGAGTTTATGACTATATCGCTAGGTAGGTTGACAGATTCAGTCCAAACCCCAGTGAGACATACCACACCCGGATTTGGAAGGATCTGTCATGCATATAATGCAGTATCTCTTTGTCTCTCCTCTCAAGGGATCCTGAGTGATGAAAGGCAACTTTTTATATCCTAATCTGGTCCCTATAGCCTTCTCCTCCTATCATTTTACCTTTTAGAAAGCAGAATTATGGTCTTCAGGAAAAGAGAGGGTAGGAGCACTGCTGTCTGGAGGAGGAAACAGGTAGGATACAGTGAAAATGTCTAGGAATCCTCCAAGAATAATGGAAAAAGTTGCAGTCAAAGGCAAGACTCCAACAGCCACTTAGGAGTGCTGGTTTGGTTTATGCTTCCCCAAAGGTAAAGCACTTTTGGCTTGGGGATTTCGCACTTGGAGCATGACTCCAGAAGTTCTTATGCAAAGTCTCACCCCTCTTAGGGGGACCCGGCAAAGATGCCACTTCTGCCTATTTGCCCCATGTTCACAGCCCCATGAGGGGTGAAGTCAGAGTGCAACAACCCCAGCTGCTTTGCTCTCTAATGTCCCCACAAGACATGATAATTTACCAGTGCCCCACTGCTCAGCAGAATCACAAAGATAATAAAGCTCTCAAACCAGCTGTGTTTCACTATTTGGTAGCAGGTTTTCCGCAGTTTCCACCAAATGATCCAGGGGGACTTTCTCTTGTTCACAGTACAGCATGGGAAGCAGCAACCCAGGCCTGCAAGGAATGAGCATCGCAGTAAGTGTCTGTACCAATAGTGTCTGTAGTAAACTGCCTTAAAAGCCCAACTCTTCACCCCTCCCCGTACACATGCCCCTTGCCATGTGACTTTGCAATTCCTCCCACTAAAGAGGTGGAGTCTTTTTCCAACTCCCTGAATCTGGGCTCAGCCATGTGACTTGATTTGGCCAATAGAGCAGAGTAGAAGTCACAATGTGCCTCTCTGAGCCTAGGCCCTGAGAGGCCTTGCATGTTACCACGTGCTCTCCTGCGCCCTCTCCATTAAAAAAGATGTATTCAGGTCAGCCCATTGGTTCCATGGGAAGAGGACAGACATGTTGCACAGAGCCAAGTTGCACAGTTAAGCCCAAGCTAGCTCAACTGTCTCCCAGTCAATACCATTCACTTGAACAAAGCCAGCCAAGATCAGCAGAGACAACAACCAGCCTAGATAAGATGAACCATGCAGACACATGTTTATTATTGTATGCTACTGAGGTTTTGTAGTTGCTTGTTACGCAGCAATGTTTTTGGCAATAGTAAATAGTGTCCTAAGGACTGCAAAGAATGAGCATGGGTTTTGTCAACCACCCAAACCATACAGGAAAGAATGTGATCAACTGTCAAGATGTTTACAAAGAGCTAAGCATTTGGTCTCAACACACACAAGGCTTCAGCATGAATCGCATCACCCTCTTCAACTTCTCTCCTCCTCACCTCCTCCCATTCTGTGGTTGCTTACTTCATGGTGATTACAACATTCCACTCCTTTTCTCATTATCTTCCTAAAGCCACTGTGAGGTCACCTCACTCTGCCCCTCACCTCCCTCCCTCTTTCAGAACATTAATAAATTAATTTTCCTAAAAATCTGTTTCTTTTATTGCACTCTTCTTTTCTTCTAGAAACCCCACTTTCTTCTCCATATGCACTGCTGACATCCTGTACGCACCTCAAGGACCGGTCTAAATGTAAGTCAAGAGAAGGGTAATTTATCCCTAGCCTGACCTCTGACTCCATGGGCAGCTTTGGGGCTGTCAAACAACCTGGAATGAGTTTAAAATCCATTCTTTCTGAGTGCAGTCTAGTCTCAAACTTATGAATAAATTAAAATTTTTTTAGATTTATTTATTCATTTGTTAAGTTACTTATTTATGTATTTATCAGCATTTGTTGAGCCCATTATCTGGGCCAGGTTCTATTCTCACACAAGCGATATAATATTGATTAAGTCACTACCTTTGTTTTTAAAAACCTCATGGGGAAGACAGACATGAATAAATTTCCCATAATGAATACAGAAAATAATGAAAGCACATAAGAAAGAACCACTATATCCACTCAAGGAATCAGGAAATGCTACATTTATTGATTGCTTATTATGTGCCAGACACTCTTCTAAGTGACTTACGCTCATTCATTTCATACCCCAAATGACCCTTTGCAGCAGTAATTATTATTATACTTATTTTAAAAACAAGATACGGATTGGCTAAGGAAATCGAGCAAGCTACAAGCTAGTAATGAGAGGCCAGAATTTGAGCTCAGGCAGTCTGGCTCCAGAGATGAAGTTCTTAACTACAGTGCTACCCTGCTTCTAGAGAAGACTCTTGAGGGATGAATTGAAGGCCTGGCAGGAGCTCTAGTCAACCCTAAACTTATAGTCAAGTTCTCTTGGTATGTGACCTTGATTATATCCTGACAATTGATGTACTGGGAACTATACAAAGTGGCAGATTTATTGGCCTGTGGGCTTTCTAGGAAAGTTTCCTGGAAATTTCTACCTTGGTTGTTGGTCTGTGTAAGTTGAGCCTACCTGAATCAAGAATGTCCTGAAATTCCCCCACCTGGACCTGAAAATGGCCCCAAGAATCTATGCTTCTGTCTCTAGTAGAAGTAGAAAGAAGGCATCTATCAAAACCACAGAGCTTTAAAGAATAGCAGAATCTCATCCAAACTTTCTGTGAACTGGATGCAGGAATATTGCCACTTACCTTTGGGCAAACATCTCTCTGGCTCCTTCTGGGGAACCATTTCAGGTACCCGCCTAAAGGGATCTTGCAGATCGATGGTGCTACATTCTGAGAATACACTGATAGCATCAGACTTCTGCACATCAGAACAAAGGAAAGGAAGAATCACTGACCAACACCCTCTCTCACCATGGTTGTACCTATACCTCACTCTGTGACCTTTGAGGTATTAAGCTAACTAGGCAAAGGCTTGTAAGTATGAGGAGCATTAAGAAAGCGTCCCTCTTGTTGGTCCCTTTCTAAATACTCTGACCAGCCCTGACTTCAGGGGAGAATTCTCCAATTGTTCTCCCCATGTGAAGACACAGTATCTCAACATTTTCCTCCCTACCAATTATACCCCTGATCAGCTGCCTAACTCCAACTAGGGAATCAGGTGATGAGGAGAAAAGCTACCTTACTGAGATTAGACTTTTCAGCTATCTCGACTCCTAAAATAATAGGCCTACGCCAGTAGCTCTTATTGATTTTGCCCTCCAGGAAATATTTGGCATATGTAGAGACATTTTTGATTTTCACAACTGAGTAATGCTACTGGCGTCTAGTGAGTAGAGGCCAAAGATGCTGCTAAAAATCCTACAGTACACAGTACAGCCCACCACAACAAAGAATTATCCTGCCCCAATTGTCATAGTGGAGAGGCTGAGAAACCCTGGCCTAGACCTTTGCTTAAGATGTGATTTCAGAAGTTTCACTGCACTAATATTGATATTTTTCTGGGAACACTCTGGGAAAATTACCTTTCGGGGATTCTGTACTGACAGATAAGCATCGTCTTCTGAGAACACATCAATTTCCACATTCTGAACTCTTGGGCTGCTGGACTTGGCTTCCTGATGGAGCTCATGGGCCTGATACAGAGAAGCTCAGAATAGAATTAATATTCCCTGGACATCTCACTTGAGACAAAATGAGTTTGAATTATATTTGGTTTTGTTTGTCAAGAAAATTGTGACATTATTTCTTTTCTTTTTACTTTTTAAAACTGCTTCTAGAGAAACTCACATAAAATGAATCTGGGGAAACTACTATAGGAAACAGATAACAAAATTTACTCAGAGGTCATGTAATCAAAATAATATGGTTCTAGGACAAAATTCACCAAAGAATTTAGAGGTAAGACTTACTGTGTCTTTTCAATTCAATGGCTAAATATTAAATTATTTAATAAATGGTAAAGGTATAATTAGCTTTCTCTGTAAAATTAATACAATGCCAGAATATAGTAAAAATAAAAACTGTAATTTAGATATATAAATAGATGAGTAAAATTGTTTAAAAAAAATTTGGAAAATATTTTTTTCATCCTTTTCTGTTTAGCAAAACAGAAAACCAAAAGGCATAAGAAAAATATGAAATGACATCACTACATAAAAATAAAAAATAAATTTTATCTGATGACTTACAGGAATATCCAAAAAGGATGTGTGACGTCACACTTTAGTGAGGGTTTTATCTGAAAATCTATGTGAAGATTCCTGCAAATCTGATACTGTAAGGTCACAATGTAAGAATATTTCTCCCTTTCAATATATGCAATAACACACAACACACAAACATACACACACACACACACGCACACACACACACACACACCATAGGTAAATATACTTATGGACCAGGAGCCGAACAGAAATATAAAGTAGTAACAATTTCAAGCACACAGTAGTTAATGATGACTAAAAGTACCCCATGTGAGGAAGAGAATCACAGCTATGTCCAGGGCTTGAAACGTTGGACTGAGTTGAATTTCTTGCACTTAAGAGAGAAAGCCAATATGAGCTGTGGCCAATGTGTAGAATTATGATTATACAAAGTTGCATAACTAGGGAGGCAGGAGGAAAAACAACCACAGAAATAGGACCTGGGCAAAGGTACCCACTGGCTCAGTGACTGAATGGGCAATAGGCCTAGTATCACTACTTAACAAGAATTCCAAGTTGGCAATATAAGACTTGGTTCTGAAATGGATGCCTTAGAATGGTTCATTGAAGACACCACAGAACTTAGCCTGCAAAGAGTGACAGATCTTCCCACCAAAGGTGAGTTTTCAAACTAACACTCCAAAATATATAAGAAGACAAACACAAAATAAGTAGTCCCTCCAAAATTAACTACTGAGATTTACTCAAGAAAAAAAAAAGTTACATAATAATGTGAAAGTATCTTTAAAACTTCTAAGTTAGGACTTAATAAAAATATAGAGAGAGTTTCACTTCCTGGATGTCAGCATAAGGAGCTCTGTGGACATGGTCCCCAGGGAAATAAGCATAAGTGGTGAAAATATTTTTTAAAAATCATTTAAAGTCTCTGGAAATTGTCTTATGGGTATACAGCAAATGAAGAAATATTCATTCACGAAAATCTACAAAATTCAGTAATAATAGCAGGAGTCCATGGAAGTTGAGTCATGACTTGCTCTTTCCTTCCCTAGCCCCCCACATCAGTTTGATGGAAGCGCTACCCTAGGTAGATGAGACCAAAAAGATGGGGCTCCCTCTACCCTCAGCTTTCAATCAAAGGATATGCATGTCACCAGGAGGTGCAGGTCATGAGCTTTGATTTATTCCCTCCAACACTGAGTTGAAAAGGCTAAATTCCTGGTGAATGGAGCCAAGATATTGGGCTCCCTTTTTTAATCCAACCTTTTTAAAATATTTTTTGTGTGTGATTTATTCTTTGACTTGTTGGTTATTTAAGAATGTTTTATTTAATTTCTACATATTTGTGAACTCTTCCCTCTCCCCCTCGTTCTTTCATAGAATCTTTCCATTTCCCCCCCACACACGCTTTACCAATACATTCCTAAAGACCAATTTATAGCAGTTCCGTCTACCCAGCCCATCATTTCCAACTATGAAGAAATCATTACGAGGCATACTAAAAGGCAAAAAACACAGTTTGAAGAGACAGAGCAAGCATCAGAACCAGATTCAACATGGCAGAGATGTTGGAATTAACAGACCAGGAATTTAAAACAACTATGATTAAAATGCTAATGGCTCTACTGAATAAAGTAGACAGCCATTTAAGCAGAGAGATGGAAAGTCCAACAGAGAATAAAAAGGAAATGTTAGAAATCAAAAACATTGTAACAGAAATGAAGAATGCCATTGATGCGCTTATTAGTACACTGGGCACAGCTGAGGAAAGACTCTCTGAGCTTGAGAATATCTCAACAGAAACCTCCAAAACTGAAAAGCAAAGAGAAAAAAATATGAGGGGGGTGGGGAACCCAAGACCTGTGGGGCAACTACAGAGGTGCAACATACGTGTAATAGGAATTGACAGCCCTCGTCTCCCACCACTCCTCAAGCATGACCCTCAGCTGATCCCTACAGAGACTGAGGTTGTTCCTACCACTGTCTCTCTTTCTACGCTATTCACTTCACTTTCTACACTCCCTTTCCTCATCTTACATTCAATCCAAATTATTTTAGGGCTCAACCAAAGGCATCTGATTCCCATTGCCCCACCCCACACTGATCTTGCCCCCTCTGAACTCCTCTGACACATCCCATCTGTACCATATGTACAAGACCATGATTAGGACAAGCCCTGGGATGAGCACATGGGTACTGAGGAGTGGCCACATTTTATACCCTTATTATTCCTGCATGAAGCAACCAGTGCCCCATGGCAACTGTAGCTCTGTTCAACCCCTAAGTCTATGTGCGAACCTTTCATACCTGTTTTCCAGCCTCAGGTTGTGTGACAGGCTGTGCGTTATCTTCCTCAGGAGATTCAATGTCATCTTCTTCCTCGGCGAGTGGGGCCAACCAAGTCCAATCATGCCCGACAACCAAGGTCTTTGGTGCAGAAGTTAGGACACTGAACTCCTCCCAGGTCTCTGGGCCTTTTTTCACTTCTGTGACCAGGGGAATGACATCTTTGCTCTCTGCAGAAGAGCCTCCTGCCACCTCTTTCTGCTTTGGTAAGTTTTGCCTCCTGTACCGCTTGCAACAGAAATGCTCAAGAGTATGTAGCACAAAACAAAAAGCCCGGTGGAACCGATCCAAGGCTAACTGGACTTTGGTTTTCTTGGCCTCTCCTTCTGAGTTCCCATCTCTCTCCTCATTGCTAAAGGAATTGAGCAGCAAGGCAATGAAGAGGTTGAGTACCTGGGGAGGGGCATGGAGAATGAAAAATTTAGCAAAGGAAAGGATACGGTAGGTTTCCAGAACAACTATTCCCCAAGACCCCAAACAAAATCAAATGAGAGTTCTCTCCTTCTATTTCTCAAGAAAGTTCATCTATAAAATAAGTAAAAGGAGAGATGATTAAGGAGTAATAGAAATAGCATAAGACAAAAAAAAAAAAAGGAAGTGAAAGGGTACAAACAGCTAAAATCTAGTTTATCTGCATATAAGCAATATGTAGAGTCTGGCTAGGGTAGAGCAGAATGGTATAACCATGTGGCAAAATCAGAAGTGTATATTCTTAGGGAATTGGACAGAATCATGAGCTTGGATTTTTGCTGGAATTGCCCACAGGGATATGAGACTGATGCTTAGACCACTGTGGGGTCCTCTCCTGTTTACACAATTTGAGAGATGCTGTACTTTAAGCAAGATCTTCAGGTCCCGCTGCTCGATCTGCACTGAGGTGTTGGGGCAGAGCCAGAGGGGTCAGACTCAAATCTCCAGCTCTTCTACTGAAGCACATATCACTTTAAATTCAGATCATCTAAACAGCTTTCTACTTAGGATTTTTGCCTACACTTAAATACCCCTAATTCATCTTCTTTATCTCTTCAAACTCCTTTTTGTGGTTCTTGCCAGCTCAAAAATACCATTCTCAAGTACCATACGTTACACAAATCCTTTCTTAATGCTCCCTTCCTACTCCCACTGGTGATACCCTGCTCTTCTGATCTTCTGTATCACTTACTATCTAGCTACACTACTTATTAAGTACTTAGGATAAAACTATCGTGTGCAGGCACCTAATTATGTTTGCACCACAGCCCCAATCCGATTCTGAACATCCTGTGTGCTCAGGCATCCCTGCATGTCTCCTGTCCCTTCAGACCCCCACTGGTGTACGCCTAATTAGCCTCTCCATAAATACCTATGGTTCCAGCTGCAAGTAACAGGCTCAAGACAGCTTAATAAGAAAATGTAACATAACCAGAAATTTGAAAATAAAACAGGGAACCAGTTATGAAATGAAGATAGGCTTGTTCTACCTTTTCGCTCTACCTTCCTCAGTGCTAGCTTTGTCTTAGGCTGATTTTACTCACAGTTGCACAATGTTTGTGGTTCTACCAGGAGTCAGTCATAAAATGGCCTAGAGGGAGTAAAAGGGCCTTTTTCTCCCCTCATCCCTTCTTCTTTTTAGAATAAGGAACCTTCCTCATGGACATCCCTTTACATCTTATTGACCAAATTAAGTCACAAACTCCTATCTCAGCCAATTATTAGCAAAGAAAATATGACGATTTTATAATAATTACCCGGAGCAGAATAGCTATTGGGGCATCAGTCAACATGAACACCAAATTCAAACACAAATTATTAATATCATATAACATTAAACTTATTATACTTAGAATAAGAATTTCACTAGTGAAGTGTTTCAAAAGAAGCCAATACATTTGTCTAGTCCACAGATTTCTTTTAAAGTCTGAGACACTCACCACGAGCTTTCCTATCACCATGATCAACAGAAAGACAACAATGCACAGCTGTGCGTTACCGACGTTTTGCATACACTCCCACATGTTTTCGATCCATTCCCCACAGAGGATGCGGAACACCACCAGAAAAGAGTGATAAAAGTCCCCCATGTGCCAGCGCCGTGGACACTTTTCGGAATTGAATTTAGAGCCGAACATCTGCATGCCGACTACTGAGAAAATAAAGACCACAATGGCCAGGACCACGGTCAGGTTTCCCAGGGCTCCAACGGAGTGGCCGATGATCTTAATCAGTGTGTTTAAAGTTGGCCACGATTTGGCTAACTTGAAGACTCTTAGCTGTAGAAACAGACAATGAACAAAAACAGAAGAAAAGCCAGTTAAGGACAAACTCTATCTGTTCGCCTGTAAAACAAATGATATATTCCCAAAACACAGCGTTAATGGTTTTCAAACATCTTTTCAAGGCCAAATCCATCCTGAGCATAGTTACCAACTCCATGTCCCAATCTGATACTCATCCATATCTATTTTTTGGTTTTAAAAATGGAAATATTTTGTTCTAATTATATTTCAATGATAAAAACTTTGGGATCGTGATGATGGAATTGAGCATACAGGTTTATTACATAAAATATATACCAGGAGTTAAAAACTTGGGCTTGAGAGCCAAATCCATCCCATTGACCGTTTTTGTATGGCCTCAGAAGTAAGAATGCTTTTTACATTTTTAAATGTAATAATCAAGAGAAGGATATTTTATTACACATTAAAATTGTCTGAAGTTCAAATTTCCACCTTCATAAAGTCACACTCATTTGTTCTTGAATGTCTATGGCTACATTTGTGCTACGATGACAAAGTTGAATGGTTCAACAGAGACCATATGACCTGTAAGGCTGAAAATATTTACCATCTGGCCTTATACAGAAAATGTTTGCTAATTCCTGCATTACATAACTTAGGTTGCGAGTCTGAATCTAAAATTTATGACAATGAGTGTCATATGTTTTGTAACCAGGAGAGAAAAGGCAAACAGCTACTCACAAAAAGAGACATTTTTTTCCATGGAAACCTACAGACATTTCAAGAGACAATAGCATTAGAGAAAACACAGAAACCAGTTTTATAGGTTATTTCTTATAGTAACTTTCAATGTAAACCAATGGTTTAACTCCAAGGTACAATGTTGTTCAGTTATCAACTATTTAGGGGTGGAAATATTGCAGGTCAGTAAGTCTTATGTCCCAAGAGAAGGACCATCACTGTCTACTCAGAGTGGAGCTAGGAGAAATTGTGGTTTTAGTCGCATATGCAGACAATGCCACAGAGTTTCTTGCTTCAGTGCGTGGCTGAAATAAGCCTAAACAATAGTAAAGTAATGTAATTTTGCTCACTTGAGTACCAATAAAACTTTAGGAGAGCAGCTTAACAATGCCTCGCTTTGAGCAGTATGATCTCCTAACATATCCCAAGTATAAAATGTTTACTTAGGTAACTGAATCAAATGTCTTACTCTATAGGCTTAGAAATCCTATCCATGTCAAATTAATATTTGAAAAAGGACAAAAGGCCATCTTTTGTGGTTTCCTAATTCCCCTCTCAGATGTGATTTCTCTATAGCTTCTTATCTACACCTCTTGTGGGCTTGGTCACACTTTACTTTGCCTTGTGGTCATTTCTGGTTCTGTCTTGTGAACTGCAAATTCCTTGAGAACAGTGCTTTCCTCATCTCTGAGCTTTCCCTTGTGTCAGCTCATATCAGGTACTCTGCAAATGTTGTGAGAATGCCCGCAATGGTTAGTGGATGGAGGGCAAAGTCTACAGAACAGGAACGAGGCACTGATAGCAGTGAGGAGGGACTTGTGAGACAGCATCTGCTGGCAGCACCCATCCCTTCCTGGGATCTGGAGTCTAAACCACCTTGGTGAGCCCAGAGGTGATGGTACCTGGCTCAGAGCTCCGTGGGGGAAGAGATCATTGGAGTGATTGTACACAAAGCAAAGAACGGAGTCCTGACACCGTAAGACACAATTTTGCATAGGGTTGCCTAACGGGTCATCTTGGCGGGGTGGGGGTAAGGGTGGGGCTAAGAGAGTAGGGGTTCAGTTGACAGAAGACCTCCTGGGGCTCCCAATGGTATCAAAGACCTGGGTGGGAAAAGGAGTGCAGTTCTGGTTCTTGGGTTAATGTAAGACAAGCTAAAGTTTAACCCAAAATAGCCATTGAACTCACTCAAGACTCTTTTCAATCCTGGCTGCTAAAGTTATTCAGTAAAATAAGAAAGTAAGTGCCTCACCACTCGTAGGGAATGGAACAGCGGCACATTTATTTTATTCATCATCACATCTGTAACACTGAGAAGAGCGACAATGCTGTCAAAGACGTTCCAGCCTCGGCGAAAGTAGTGGTAGGGGTCAAGCGCGATGATTTTTAGGCACATTTCTGCCGTAAAAATGCCAGTGAACACCTACAGCGAGACAAGGAAAAATGAGAAAAGGAAATTACCTCTCCTTGGACACACACTTTTAAGAATGGTCCCAGGGAATTACAGAGGTCACGGAGAAATAAAATGTATTCTCACGGTCGCACAATATACCCTGAAATCTATGAAAAAGACACATTTACTACTGTCCATGAACCTCACTCTACCTTTACTCCCCTGTCCACCCCCTTCCGTGGTGCCCAGTCCAACGTTACCAAGCTCACAGACATCGGGATGGAGAAGAAATGTTATTTCTCATTCTGTTGAAAATAAGGCAAAATTAGCTTCTTTTGGTAGACGGCAAAATGATAGGAAGTCTCGATCGACTCCTCTGAGTTCTCTTTAAAATGCTAATAAAAACTCCAAAAAGGGAGAACTATACAACAGCTCTGAAAATTAAAGATAAATATCCTCCATAAACCAGAATCCAGGAGGAGTTCGCCTAAACCACTCAATATCAACATCTTGATCAGAAAAATTTTAAAACGGGGCCCAGAGCAGAGAATTGAAAAACACTACCAGAGACAGAAAAATGTCTTTGAGCAACTCAATTAGAGGATAAGCCCTAGATTGATTATGGCTGAAAGGAAGATTAGTGAGTTGGAATATAATCCTAAAACCTCACTCAGAACACAGGGCTTTTCACTCTAGAACTAAATACCAGAGAATTAAAAAAGAGGGGTAAAAATTGCAAAAGTGGTTAATTATGTGTTTTCCATGAGCGAAAATAATTTTTTGTCCTGTCTTTGATACTTAGATAAATAGTCTTAAGAAACTTGCAAAATGTTTAATACGCAGTAGCCAAATTCAAAACTAAATCTATTTTCTATATCTTTGATATAGAAGATAAAACAAAGCATTTCTTCATAGCAAATAGCACATTCTCCATCTCTCTCTCTCTTTCTAATAAATGGAAATGAGAAAATTATAGTATGAAAATTATAAAGTAAAATAAAAAGGGTTAAAGCCTTTAAAATGTTGTCAGTTATAACTATCCTCTATAGTTCTAGAAAATAAAAACAACAACCTGCAAATGATTAAATCTCCCTCTTAAAAGTAACAGATGATCTTCTTTTAATGCGTGGCTAACCAAATGTCATTTTGCTCATGTGAGCACTAATAAAAGGCCAGGGTGGTCTCCTTACAGACAGTCTGCATCTAAGTTCTTTTAATTCATCTAAATTATTTTATTTCAATTACTTACTATTTATTTTTAAAATTCTCATAATAAAATGACATGAGTCAAAATAAAAGGATAGGCAAAGATAAATCCAGGATAGAAAATAAAAAAGAAATCAAGGGTGACAAAGAAAATTCAAAGCTTATATCTACCTTTTCCAATATTGCTAGCTACCCCTGCCCAATGCCACACCCAGTGCCTAAAGGCATGTAGTTTTGCCTGTTCTAGTTAACTGTGCTGGACTGATCCTCCGCCCCTTTGACACACTCCTCCTCCTCTGGTCTCCTTCAGGCTGTAGGTGTCTGGCCCTACGGACTCCCTGATGCCTTGGGACCATTGGTTTTGCAATCCAATTCCAGTGCTATTTATGGCTTCTTGGGAGCTCAGTGTACTCCCCTGATTCTGGGTATCCTGAAGCCTAAAGAGTCCATTTCCAAGTCCAGGCCTACAAAACTCCATAGGCCAGCTTAATCCTGGCCCACCAGCAGAGGGAGGTTTGGACGTATTCTTTGGAACTCAAAGCTCCCTGGTCTCCATCTACCACTGCCATAAGGACACAATAGATGGAGTGGCTGCCATCTTTGTACTGTATGTCTAAAGAATACTGAACATGGAATGGAATCATGGCTACGTGCCAGCTCTACATGCTTCTCATCAATTTTCAGGAGTTGGGGTGCCGCTGCTGCCTGTGTCCTCAGACACCAACGATGTCCCTGTCTCTCCTTCTGCTTCTGGAGAGAGTGAAGAAGAATGTCACTTAATTAGCCAGCTTCTGACTGCAAAATGCAGCTTCACCTCAACACTCAGGATGCCTAGTCAGTGGAAAATCTGAGGGGGCTTTTCTCATAGTTGGACCAGCTGATAAGTGATGAACATCTCTGCAATTGTGAAGCCCTGTCCGGGGGAATAACTCTGGGTTCTTTGGGTATTCTCTGGAACTTATCCAATAACTCCATCTACCAGGAGGTGCTGAAAGATGGCTCTGCTGACTCTGATGAGACAGGGAGCATGGCCCTGAGGGTATAGCATTCTGCTTTCAAGTGAAACAAAACCATCAGCCCAATTCTTGGGACACTTCATCAGGAGATAGCTGAATACACTGGCCTGGAGCCCAGAAGACTAAGCCTGTTAGAAGGTACTGTGTGTGTTAAGTTTATCATGCAGCATGGAACCTAACCCAACCCTTGAACACTGCCAAGGCACCTCTGCCTAAAGGCAGTATGGGGAGAGAAACTTACATGCAGACTGTCTGTAAGGAGATCCACCCTAGCCTTGTACGGCAGTCTCACTGTAGCCCTGCTCCTCCTGGGAGGGATGTGGGACTGAGGGTAAGGTACCTGTCTCCGGTTCTACACCATCCTTAACTTGATACATAGAAGCAGTTCTGTGGACCAACTCCTGATTCAATAGATACAGCGGGTTCTCACCAATGTAAATAAGTGAATTTTAAAAATATATCCATCCATCCATCCATCCATCCATCCATCCATCCATCCATCCATCCAAACACACTGCCTAGAAATACTCTGCAATGCTAAAAATGATCATCTTTGTTAGTAGGACCATAGGAAATGAGTTTCTTCTTTGTATTTCCTTTATTTTTATTTTCCCTTATTTTTAAACTCTAAAAAAGCATATATTGCTTTTCAAAATGGAAAAATAAAATAAAACTTTAAGAAGAAAGGGCTAGACATTCTGGTAAGATTTTTAGCCTATTAACTCATTAGTTCATTTGGGTAGAACATTCAGTTGGTAATTATTTGTAATTTCTGATATTTTGGAGACTAATCTTCCTTTGGGAAAAAATGTCTTCCGCAGGAACTATGAATTAAAGTAAACAATTCTTGAAAAGTCAGCTCTCCTATACTAGTTTGCCCAATTTAACTGAGACTAGATTCATCCAGTAAGAAACATACTGAAGCAGACTCAAATCTGGATCCCTACCCCACAGCTCAGGACACCCACTTCCAGGAAAGTGCTTGGCCTTGACTCATCTTTCCAGTGGAATAATAATGTGGAATAGCAGCCACATTATTTTGTGACAAATGATGTCATCAGTATCACCAATGACCTTGGTATTCATTATCATGAGCCTCTGGATATGGTTAATGTTTTTTTAATTATCCCAAGCAGTTGACATTTAAAGATGTCTACTTGCTTCTGGCTTACGATTGGATGACTAAAAAGACACCATAATATACTAGAGGGGCCAACATAGGCCCTGTGGGAAACTACCGAACTGAGTAAAAACAAAACCCTAACTGTCATCTTTTCTCTTTACTCCACTTAAGGGGACCAAAGACCTAGGTTGGGTTGGGCCACTCACAAAATGTCTAGACTTGGAAAGGGTTATAATTCAAAGTTTGAAATACGTTTTATTTAAAAAGCCTAAAGTTACCAAATTTCCTGTATACAAAATACGCTCAAAACTCTGGTCCATTTTGTGATGCTCCATGGCCAAGAAGATAGTATTGATTATGATGCAGATGGTGATGGCCAGCTCAGTAAAGGGGTCGGTCATCACAGTTCTCAGGGCCTTCTTAAAGCATATCCACCGGGGGCTACAGTCCCACACGAGGTATCTGGATGCCAGGTTTTCCCCACACGGGAAGCAAGCCTCCTGGGATTTTTCTTGTTCTGGAGGAGAACGAAAGAGCAGTTGAGGAGTTATCTCTGAACCAGTCTGGCTGCTCTCTGCCTGAGTACATTCCTTCCCTCCTCTTCTCTGGGGTCTCTCGTTATACATGATCAGTCGAGAAGGGCAATGACTGGTGTAGCCGGGGAGGTGCCCCACATCCAACTTTCATGGGGTGGAGTCAGGTATGTCAATTCTTTACATTTGTATTGAACATTTAGGAACTGGGCTGCACTGTTAGAGATACAAATGAGTAAGTCAGCACTCTCTCTCCCATGGGGACCAATGAGGGAGACAGACACCAGTCCCAAGTTATGTTCCCTCCAGGCAGACCATACTGACAGCTGTAACAGAGGCATGGGGAGCTATTGGGGCTCAGGGGAAGGAGATACAGTCAGGCAGGAGCATTTATACGCACTGAAACAAGCAGCCCTCTCTCAACTGCTTGAGTTCAGGCCTCAAAGCGACTGCCCCTCCGATTTCCCTGGCACCATTTCAGGGATTCATGCAGGCCATGTGAGGTAATGCGACAGGCTCAGAAGGGCCTCATTCTTACAGGGACTTGAGTCTTGCCCTTGATCCCCAACCCCTTAGCTGGGTCCTTGTTACCTGCTGTTAATCAGGTGCATCAGATGGATCCAGACTGTCAACATAGGTCTTCTATTTCCATTCCAGATTCCTAACTCTATCTTCAGTGACAACGGCCACCTACTGGAAACTTCGATGTCTTCTCTTCTTTGGCTGACTATCACTGTCACTGAGACCTCCTGTGATTGCCTGGCCTAATCAGGAGGTTTCATTTGTGCTCTTAGTCCCAAGTTTAGTCAGTTCCCACCCTACCCAAGTACCGACTCAGGGCGGGCCTAGAGGGAAGACCCATTTCTTCCAAATCACTTTGCTCACGTGCTCCAAAAAGGCACAGGAAATCACTCTTTGCAAGAAGTACAGTGGGCTGCAGAGGGTTTCGGGGTGGGGAGCGGGGAGGAGGACAGGGGCTTAAGAGAGGGAGAAAGGAAGGACGTCATCGAAGTTAGGCTCCCTGTTGGGCTGAGAGTCAGAACTTACCCTGCATGGTGATGGTGAGGATGCTGACAGCACTCAGCGCCCTCTGCCTTTGGAGAGGGTCTCTGTGCTCTTCGCAGAAGTCCACTGACAGGTTCTGAGACAGTCGTTTGGTTTGCTCTAGGAGGTAAGGCTGTAAAAGAAGACATGGACCTTCTAAGAGAAGGTGCTGACTCTTCAAAACTTCACAAACTGCTTTGTTTCAATGCCACATACAGCATAGATGTTCGATATTTTGCATAGACTGATTCATTTCAACATCATGGCATGACAAATGTTCAGTTTTCTTATTTCATATTTAATAAATGAGAAATATGGTTTGACCACTCATACTTTTTATGTATGCACATTTCTAGAATCTTACCTATAAATTTTTTTCTTTCTCTGTGACTTACTCATTGTCAACAAAGAGCAAATCTAATTTTACAAAAACTAACGAGCAATGGTTCAGAGTATGAAAGCAGTAAAAAGTCTTAATTTGGAAACCATGTTTACAAAGGGCAGAAGTGGGAAATAAGTTTAGAAAGGTGGACTGGGGACAGAAAGTGAAGTGCCTTAAATGGCTGCCTAAATAGATTTTGAAATAGTCAGTTACTGAAAAGAACTGTCAAAATAAATATCACAAAATCTCTGTACTAAAACTCAAGTGTTCTCTCAGGCTGTGCCCAACGGCTTATTGACTCTACCTCACTTACAATTCTAAATACTCTGGAGATTAAAGGACATAAACCATCAGCTATCCAAGAAACGCGAGTATTCATAATGAGTTATTTCCCAAAAGTTCTGACCAAGTAGGGCCCCAGAGGGAACTATCCCTTTGTAATAAGCTACTCTAAAGGCAGCCTGTAATCCTTCTATAACTATTTCTTGTTCTACATAAAGGAAAGAGACATTTTGTATTAGGTGTGTGGGTCTTTGTGGAACAAAGAGAAACTTTCAAATTTTAAAAAATTATTTGCAGTCTCTTCAATAATGCTGTGGTCTGACAGCAAAGAAGCCTCTAAACTATGAGATCTTTTCATCACTCCATCAGAAGACTGCTTACAGCAGTGGATGAGGTCCATCCATCTACTTCTGCAAAGGCCCCTCACTCCCTTTCCCCACCCCATTCTCTGGCAGGCACGCTCATTTCGATCTTCCTCCTGTCTCAGAAAAGTGGCTCTAGCCATTATTCCCTGGCCTCTATCTTTAACATTTTTCCCTCTTCTGACTTCTCTTCCAAAATTAAAACATGTTTAAACATCTCCTACCGTAATAAGAATAGCTATTTTTCTACGGCACACACCGCCTCCCGCCCCATAGCTTCATTCCAGCATATCCAACCTGCTACTCGATATCCCTGCTTAGATGCCCATAAGCACCTCAAAACTGACACGTCCAAAACTGAACTTGCTATCCTCCTCGTCCTCAGAACACGTTTCTTTCCTGTCTCAGTAAAATACCCTCCATCAAGTCAGCCACCCAAGCTATACACTGGGCATCATCCCCACCCTCCACATCTAGTCAGTTGCCAAATTTTATCTTCTGTAGGTCACCGTCGTCTGTTCATCTCTCTCCATCCTCCTTGCCCTAACCACAGTTCAAGCCATTGTCGTCTCTTATTGTAACAACTTCTTAATTGGTTGACTCCAGTCTTGCCCTCCTCTAATCGCCTTTCTCCAATCCACCCAGGATTTCGAAAATGTAAATCTGGTCACATCACTTTTGCTTAGAACTTTCCAAGGCTGCTTAACCCCTTGCTCTCAGTGTAAAGAGTGAACTCCTTAGCTTGGTTTTAAGGCTTTTTTGTAATGGCCCCATCTTACCACTGTAGCCTCTTGCTACCCACTACTCCATACTCATCACAGACACACAGACACAGACACACACACAGACACACACACAGACACACACACACACACAAACACGTGCATGTGCACACACACACTTGCAAGTTTTCTACGGGGTCATGGTCTCCTGCTCTGCTTCACTTCCAGGCCTTTGTCATTGCATGTGTTTTCTCTCTACTTGTGCTCCATTCTTTCTTTTACCTATTAATTCATCTTTTAAGCTTAGATGCTGCTTCCTCTGGGAACGCTTCTCTGATCTACTTCCCTTCCTCCAGCCCCCACCAAGTCTGGAAGTGTGGGTTGGCTGTCTGAAGCAGATGCTACTGTTGGCCCCAACCTATGTCCTCAGGCTTTACCCTGAGGGCTTTCTCTGACAACTCTAACCCCCTCTGCCCTAATGCAAGTCAGAAATATAAGAAAATTATTGTCTCCTGACCCCAGCAGTCTTTAACCAAAGAAAAGCCTAAATTGGTGTATAAATACTCTAGTGCCCTTACCCCAGAGAAGTTAAACTTCAACTATCTTCACTGGCAACTGGCTTGATAATATGCACCTCAATCGGCCACCTTCTCTTCCATGTATCCTTTCTTCCCTCCCTTCTCAGTGCTTCCTGGGATCACTTTCTAAATAACAGACTTGCACTCTAACAGCTCAAGGTTGGCTTTGGAGGGAACCCGCACTAAAACACTGCTCCTCCTCTGCTGTCCCATAGCAATCATCATGTCCGTCATCCCACGGAAGAGTAATTGCCTCCTTATTAGTGTGTCTTCATCATTAGTTGTTTTTTCCTCATTCATCTCATGTAGACCCAGTACCCACCCCAGTGCCAAGCAGAGAGTAAACACTGTCAAACAGAAAGATGTTTAAATAAACATTTGTAAATAAATGGGTAACTGAGTAGACACACAGATGCAGGAAAGTATGTGCAGATAGATGCTGGATAAATGGATGAATGAATAAATGAATCCTTTTAATTAGACAGACAACTTGATCTATCTCCTTGAACAGTGATATGGTATCATTAACTCTTTGGCCAAGATTTACCTTTTTTGGGGAATCCTCATCAGACTCTGATCCTGGAACCTGTTCTTTCTCAGATTCTCTGAAAAAAAAGGACTTCCTTTTCCTGTTACCAAATAGCTTTCTCTTCTTTGGGGAAAAAGATGATGCTTCAAGGGAATTAAGTGAACTTCTGTCAATTCCCATGGCAACCAGAGCCTTAGAAAGTGAACAAAAGAAATTAATGAACAGATTATACCTCCCCATGAAACACTGCAAATGACCTCAGCCTTGGTGGGCAGTCTCTCCTCTTTTCTGGCAGCAGTGTAGATTGCTTGTCACCTAACTGGAATATGCTACTTTGTCATTATCTGGGGAACATGTCCTATTTGTCCACAGAGATTGCAGCCCTCAAAGGCAGGGAGACTCTTCCATATCTCTGTATCACAAACCCTTAGCACTGTGTCTAGTATGTACTAGGTACTCAAAAGATGTTTGTGCCTGATGATGCAGATGTTTAAGCACTTACGATGGGCTTCCTCCTGACAAATCTCTGTGGAGGGTGAGAAAGCGTATCAAACATAGTCCCTGCCCTGAAAAATCTTAGAATGTAACTGGAAAAATGTAAAGGTATCAGGGACACAATGAGAATGGCCTATAAATATGACAGGAATTTCAAGAACGTAGAGATGGCTATTGTCTCCAGAGCCAACATTTTTGCCTTCCGAAACCCTCTCAAGAAAAGGCCTTGAACATAAACACCTCCAGATTCCCACAAGAAAACCTGGAGCAAAACCTGGATTTATATATGTATGTGCGTGTGCATGTGCATGTGCGTGTGCGTGTGCGTGTGTGTGTGTGTGTTTGCGTATGTGTTATCCTCTATCAAGCAATTTGGAATCTGCCCTAGAAGGCTCAGGTTTCAAAAGGTCGAAGAGCAACAAAACCAAGGGATCCCTGTTCTCAAGAGCCCTGTGCCTGGATATCTTAGTGACAGAGAATAGCAGAGCCAGTCTGCAAGGGGCTTAAATTCTCAGAAAAGCACCAGTAGAGAATGCTGTGACCAGGCCTCATGCAGCAGCCTGAGCCTCAGGCCCAAAGGCCTCCGGCATCCCCCTAAGCAAAGCCCACTCTCTGACCCCATGAACCTATACCTCTTTCTCTTCCTTTAACAGCTGCTGGGCTTCCTGAAACATCTTCTCCTTGGCCTCCGTCTCAGCAGCTACGTTCTTATTCTGTTCTTCGTAAGCCATGGTGACAACAGCCAGGGTTAAATTAATTAGGTAGAAAGAGCCCAGGAAGATGACCACCACGAAGAAGAAGACTGCGAAGAGCCCCGAGGTGCGTAAGGTCTGCAAGAGACAGAGAACACACTGGCACCTGAAGCCTTCTTCCACAGCGGGGTGGCTGTCACTTCAAGCAGAAATTCTACAGTAGCAATTGGTGTTCCCCAGCACCAGCTGGCTCAGTGGCCCACAGCATCATCCACAGCCTCCCCAGTGACGCCTGATGCCCTGTCAGCCAGGGAGGAGATGCCGTCCATATGTCACCATGGAAGTCTCAGTGACTTTTTCATCATTATCTCCAGAGTATTTGCATTTTAAAATTAAAAGGCAAGAGCGTTAGCAATGCTTCATGAAGACCAAAGTGCTAGTGGAACTTCTGGCAGTGTGGAATCTGGAGAGGTATAATATTTCTAGGAAGAGAAGTGTTTATACACAATTCTTCCAGATATCATGTTTATATGTTTTTTTGATGTTTCTAACAGAATTTCTAAAGCCGAATTTAACAGTAAAACTGTTAAGGATGAGGAATAGAAGACAAAGGTGGGGAATAGATGGTAGGTTATAAATAAATGATAGATCGATGAGAGAGAAAGGGAGAGAGAGAATAAAAAAATTGATAACCTGTCTATAAAGCTTCTCCCAGGAATCTTGGGTCATAAGCCGGAACATGGCAAGAAATGACCAGCCAAAGTTGTCAAAATTTGTATAGCCATAGTCAGGATTCTTTTGAGTGTGTATGCATTCAAATTTTTCAGAACAGTCACTAGATATGGGAAACAAGGGAAAAGAGAGAGAATAACATTCCCTATAGCCCAGCTTCCCTTTTCTCCCACATGATACTGGTTCTTCCGAGGGCCATGGGCTCACACCCAAAAGTCCCAGGTGAAGAGAGTACTTGTAGAGTGGCCACCCCGCTGTTAGCCAAGCCTCCCAGCCTGTACCTTAATGTGGGTGTCCGTCGACTCTATTCAAATAGATTGATCACTAAATTCATATTAGCAGTTTTTCATTGAAAAATGAAGTGCAATGACATAGTGAACAATTAACAGCAGAAAAGAGTATCCAATAAATACGAAGTCTCCTTCTGTCCCCAGACCCTCAGTACCACTTCCTAGAGGCAACAGTTTACTTTTGTAACTTTCCAGATGTTTTCTATGAATATAGAAGCACATATACATTGATACATATCTTCTATAATACATATAGAGGAACATTCTTTAAACACTCTCTTGCACCTTGCTTCCTTCATGGAACAATATAGCTCGAAGATCTTTCCATACCAGCATACAGGGAGATATCTCATTCCATCTCATGCCTTACAGTCTTATGATTTCTCTAACTGCTTTGCTAATGATGCATATTTACATTTCAGTTGTTAACAGGCTTTTGGCTTTACAAACATTTTGTATCCATTGTTTTTATTCTACAAACAATGGATATCTTGCACAGGTCCTTGCCCATACCACCAAAGCACACATCATTAAGTATACCTATATGATATACTAAGCATGCATACTTTCATAGTTTTTAATAAGCATAGTATTTTTATCAAAATAATACATGTGCGTGGTTTAAAAATCATATGGCACCAACAGCTTGTAATGAAAAACATTCCATCTTATACTCCCAAATTCAACAACTTTTAACTCTTTTACACCCATATCTCTAAATATAAGGCTTCTGCTGATATCTGATTTATCAGTTTTAGTTCTTAGTGATTAACACCTTATGGTAGTTAATCATATCCTGCTTCATCACACTTATATCACTCTTCATAGAAAAATACTGTGGCTTGTGTTGATGGCTCTCCTGGGTTGAATACATTTTTACTTGAATCTTGTGTGTTGATCTTTCTAAGTTTTACTCCTTCATTTTTCTGGAGCAAGTCTCAAGAAATTTCTTGAAAAGATTGGGTGATCTTTGCAGATATGAATATAACTTTATTCTACATTCACATATGATTGTTAGTTTGGCCAGAGATAGAATTCTGGGTTGAAAATAATTTTTCCTTAAAAATATGAAGGCACTGTTCAGCTACTATCCTGCGTTATTGGTGGGAATTTTAGTGCCATTTTGATTTTGGTTCCTTTATGGATGACCAATCTTCTTTTTCTCTTTGGTTTTAAGATCTTTGCCACCAAAGATTCTGAAATGCCATGATCTTACGTGACTTTTTCATTCATTGTGTTGGGCACTTATGAAATGCTGAGGGACTTTCATCCTTAATCCCAGGGAAATTCTCTGTATTATTTCTCTGCTAATTTCTTCCTGTTCGTTTTTTCTGTGCTTTATTTCTAGAATTCCTACCTTGTCAAAAGTTGGAACTTCTGGATTGATATTTATTCTTATATTTACTGTCTCTGTCTTTTGTTGTAATTTTCTAGGCTATTTTCCCATTGATTTGTTGTAATCATCTTATCAAAAAAAGATCTCTTTCTTATTCTCTGACTGTTCCTTTTTCAAAACAAGCTATTTTTGTTCTTATGTACACAATATCTCTTTAAATTTCGCTAAGCACCCTATTTAAAGTTTTAAAAGCTCTTTTTGATTCTCTGAATTCTTGCTGTTTTGTCCATGGCTCTTACAAAATGAATGCTTGTGTCCCGCCCCCCCCCCAAAAAAAAGCCAAATGTTGAAATCCTAACCTCCAATTTGATGGTATTATGAGATGAAACGACGAAACCTTTGGGAAGTAATTAGGTCATGATGGTGGAGCCCTTATAGAGACCCTGCGAGCTCTTTAGCCCTCTTTCTACCATATGAGGATACAAGAAGAAGATAGCAGATAACCTGGAAGAGGACCCTTACTGGAACCCAACCATGCTGCTGCCCTGATCTTAGATTTCCAGCCTCCAGAACTGTGAGAAATAAATTTGTTGCATATAAGCCGCCCAGTCTGTGGTATTTTGTTATAGCGGCCTGAACTAAGACAATGGTCACTTTTTCCATTTATCCTGGCCTCCTTCATGCCAAAGGCTTTCTTCAGTTGCCTGGTGAGCCTGGGCTTTCGGTCGCATTTAATCAGAGGTCCTGACGAGCTGATTGAGCGTTTGCTTGGTGGGCAGAATGGGACCCGTTGAGTGGTAGGCTTTGCTTTATGGTGACTTGGAAGGAGGACATCCATTGTGCTCTCTTTCCCAATCTCGGTGAAATTCTGTGACGTCTCAATGTTCTTATCTTCCAGGAGCCGGTTGGGACTGAAACTACTACCATACCTAATTTCCCTCATTTTTCTGGTCTCCATTCAAAATATAAGCTTGTTTTGTTCAATCTCCCCCTCTCTGAATATGCCTTCCCATCAACCTATACAGGTGATTAAGTCTCTTCTCTCGTGTTCCCATCTCAGGAAAGGCATTGCCAGTCTCCAACACCGGAAATGAGAGTAACACCTATAACAGTTGTCTCTCCTCTGCACTTCCCACTTCTATCCTACACAGGCATCTGTGTACCTATATACACACTAACACTCCTCTTCAAGTCACAAATCTTATTCTTTCTATCTCCTAAAGGCCTTTGGAATTCACCCATCCATTTCTTTTCATCTCCACTGTACAGCTTCACAACTGTCTCTGTATTATATAGCCTCCTAAGTGGCTGCCTCATCTACTCTGTCCTTAAATTCTCCACACAGCAGCCACAGTGACCTTTAAAAATACCTAAAACAGACTCACTAAAATAGAGGACAGTCTGATGACGGCCAAAGGGGAGAAGGGTTGGGGGGGCTGGAAGAGATGGATGAAGGGTTAAAGAAGTACAAATTAGTAGTTGATAGATGGTCACGGGGATGGGGAGCATGGCATAGGGAATGCAGTTAGCATTAATGTAATGGCTAGGTGGAGGGCCCGGAGAGAGAAGGAGTAATTAGAGGGATCATTTTATAAACTATATAAATGTCTAACCAATGTACTGTATACTTGAAACTAATAACAAAATAATTTAAAAAAAAAACCTTAAAAATATCTAATCTGCTCAGGTCTTGTTTCCTTTGATATCGAGGTCAAAATCTTTGGCACTGATGGGCTACTAGAACCTGCATGGTTGGCACCCATCTCCTGCCCCTCTGCATAACTAGCTCCTGGGCTTCTCATCATCTCCAACATGTTCTCATGACCCAAGGCCTTCACCTTTACCGTTCCTCCTGGATGGTATTGTTTTCCCTATCTCCTCACGTACCAGAATCTTCTACCTATGCTTCAGATCCACATTGTAGTCACCAGCCAGTTAGCCCTCAGGGAAGGAGGCAGTGAGCAAAGTTTAAAAACCAGGCCTGGGCCCTGAACAGACCACAGCCTGCTTGGGAAGGTGACCCTGGATCTGCCATCTCTTTGAAAACTGCCATGTTTTGATCCATGTGGAAGGATGTATACTTGGAGGTGGTTTACTATAAAACTCCTGAGCTTTGAGACTATACTCAGACTGAGAGAATTATGACTGTGACACAAGCTTAGAGAGACAAGGAGACTGTGAAGACCAGCTGGAAACAAAAGCTGCTGCTTCTGTGGGTCTAGGTGGTCCATCCCACCTTGGATGGATTTTTACCTACAGTAACCAGAACTGCCTTGCATGGATGAGGGGTCTAGGAAGCACTGTATGTGACAGCTGTTGGGCCCTTCATTAAATGAAAACACTGCGGGTGCAATATGTCCTGTTAAAGAACATTCTAGAGAGCCCAGTAAACCTCGTATTGATTAAAGCCTCTTACATCTTGTGAGTTTGACCTAATCTGAACCCATGACTACCACAAGTGGCATTAGATGATTTCCCTAATTTTAAAGACAGGCTTAAATGCCGTTATCTCTCTTAGTATCTGTGCATCTCTCTTATAACATGCATCACACTTTTGAGGATTTACTCTACATCTCTCTTCTCTGCAAGACGTCATCTCAAGAAGGCGGAGCTCCCTTATTCATACTTGTCTTCCTTGGGCCTAACACAGACCTTGGCCCATGGCACTCCTTGATACCTATTTGTTTTTGAGAAATGAATACAGCCTATTTCATCAGAGTGCCTAGCATGTTATCTTAATTTGAAATACACTCAATAAATCTTCACTGAACTGAGTCTCTCACCACAGAGAGCACTGATGTCCTGGAAGAAGGAAGGGGATCCCCAAAAGGCCAGAGAGTTACCAGCTTTTGGGGTGAATGTATGAGCATGACATACAACTGTACATAATTAGAGACAGTGGTGGCCAACAGATTAGCAAACAGAAGAAGCATGCTCAGATAGTCTGCACCAGGGTGCTGCACTGAACAGGAAGTAAGAATGTCTAGGGGCTTTCAATCATAATGCCCTTTCTTACCTTTGAAAGTCTTGAATATCCACGCCATAGAGGCAAAACTTCATGTTTTCAGTGGTTTTATGATGTTACAAATTCAACATAACTCAGAGATGAAATCAGCTCTAAATACTTGGAAATAATTTTTAATTTAATAATGCACATCTAAACTTGCTTAGCCACATGAAATAATCAGTACTGTTTGAGATCTACCATCACTGCTTCCACAAGTCATTAGATGAAAACTGTTTGCCACATCTCCTTAGAAGGTCTACAGTTGTTCTGACTAGGAGAATAATGGAGAGTATAAGGTTCTTACCTTCTACCGGAGTTACATATTTTGAATTCAGTGGAATCTTTCTTTTCATAACAATAGTCTGAGAAAAAAAAGAAGCATAATTCAGATAAAGAAACCACTGAAATGAAAAAGAATAGCAAATATGCCAGATTATTCTTGGAACAGATTGTTCAGAAACTCTCTAAAATGATCAAAGTGGGTGTCCAGAGAGGAAATGGAACTTGAGCCATCAGGAAGGAATGAGAGAAAAGGAAGAAAAGGAAAAAGAAAGAAGGAGGAGGAGGAGGAAGCAGTGACACCACCATGTTGCTTCTCAGTATATAAAACTGAACTGAAGA